ATAGCATGCAAATACAGGGGAGCAGTCATGGATAAGCGAGTCCCTAAGAAACAGCCGAAAAAATTGGCGGAACAGGGCGCAACTGTGTCCGACCTGTTCGCGGCCTCCCACGCCACGAGGTTCAGCACCCAAGATCGTGGACGGGAGAGCCCGACGGTCCCATGCACACCCCCTAGCCCCCTAGCCCGGGGAATGCTACAGCCCATGTACTATTCTGTCTCCTGTCTCCTTGAATTATTCAGAATGAATAAAACCACCAGAGATTTGTGTTGGAGAGGCTGCAGATTACAGGGCACCTATAACCACATGTGGTGGGACTGCAAAAAGAGGTCAAGTTAGACCCTTGGGTGTTCCTTTTGGCCAGATCGATTGAGAGTTGGACAAGAGCCGAACAAAACCTTTTACACAAACTAACCTTAGCTGCTAGACGGACATTGGCACAGGTATGGTTACAAAGGGAGACACCCACGACTCCTGTGGTATTGCAAAAAAATTAAGGATACCTTCCTTATGGACAAGTTAACGGCAAGGGTTCGAGGTTCCATGACCAAATTTGAAAAGACCTGGAGCCCTTGGACGGCTAGCACAGTCAGTTGCTAGGGGATGGGCGGGGCAGGTTCGGTTTGATCCCCAATGTACACCACAGAACTTCAGAGAGTTATTGAAAGGCACATGGCACCTACCTTCAAACAGGCAGACCTCTCAGACCCCTCTAGGGGAGTCTTGGGAACCTAACGTCCCAGAGTCCGAACCGGACACGGTGTATAGACCTGTCCACCTCTCGCATTTGGTGACACAAGCGGACCCCGGGGTTGCTCCCCCGGGTCTCCACCCCCCATGCTCTTCTTCCTTACCCCTCTTCACTAATATCTTTATCCTTTCTATCCATTTACATTCTCTAATTTCTTATGTACGGTTGTACAGCGAATAATTCCTCATGGAACATTTGGAGAGAAAACGAGCAAAACAAAATATCCTATTACACTACCCTCTGATGCACTTAACAGGGGTATAGACCTCTGAGTGAACAGAGCTCTCTCCTTACTATATTATTAGACAGATTGTACATGAATCTATTCTATTTACAAAAATAAAAACCAGGGCAGGTTGTTGAATGTTGTAAATCTCCAAGATTGGCTTTAAGACACACTACACGACCTTGTGGACTACCAACGATATACTTTATACGGAAATGCCCTTTATACCCACAAGTACAGTACTATTGTTAACATTTATACGTATTCATGTTTCTTTGTATAGCATACTCATGTTATGGTCACATTGTATGGTTTTACTCTGTCTTGAGATAAAGAATAAAAAAAATAAAAAAATAAACTGTTAGCCAACTGTGACTGACAAACCCCATTAATATGTTCCTATAGAAGCAGTTTTAGACTGTGATAGGAAGACCCAATTAACCTGTTGCTATGGAAGCAGTGTTAGCAGACTGTGATAGGTAGACCTCATTAATCTGTTGCTATGGAAACAGTATTGGCAAACTGTGATAGCCATACCCCATCCATCTGTTGCTAAAAAAAAGCATTGCTAGCAGCCTGTGATATGCAGATCCCATTAATCTGTTTCTATGGAAACAGTATTAGCAGACTGTGATAGCCAGACTCAATTCATCTGTTGCTGTGGAAGCAGTAGCAGACTGTAATAAGCAGAGTCCACGAATCTGTTGCTATGGAAGCAGTAGCAGACTGTGATAGGCAGACCACATCAATCTGTTGCTATGGAAGCAGTCTTAGCAGACTCTAATAGGTAGACCCCATTAATCTATTACTATGAAAGCAGTGTTAGACTGTGATAGGTAGACCCCATTAACCTGCTGCTACAGAAGCAGTAGCATATTGTAATAAGCAGATTACATGAACCTGTTGCTATGGAAGCAGTGTTAGCAGATTGTGATAGGTAAATCCCATTAACCTGTTGCTATGGAAGCAGTGTTAGCAGACTGTGATAGGAACATACCATGAATCTGTTGCTATGGAAGCGGTGTTAGCAGACTGTGATAGGTAAACCCCATTAACCTGTTGCTATGGAAGCAGTGTTAGCAGACTGTGATAGGAACATACCATGAATCTGTTGCTATGGAAGCAGTGCTAGCAGACTGTGATAGGAACATACCATGAACCTGTTGCTATGGAAGCAGTGTTAGCAGACTGTGATAGGAACATACCATGAGTCTGTTGCTATGGAAGCAGTGTTAGCAGACTGTAATAAGCAGACCCCATTAACTTGTTGCTTTGAAAGCAGAGTTAGACGATTGTGATAAGCACAGTCTATTAAACGGTTGCTAAGGAAACACAGCATTTATATCAGAGACTGAATTAACTAGCTATAGTCAATCAGATAAGATATTTCTTAATAAGCCCCAAAAATATATTCTATACACATTTCCTTTAAACTCATGTCACACCGCAACTAAACTATTTACACTACGTCACCAGTTTTGTTCCTTTTCCCTTTCGGAAAACAAAAATACATTGAAATAAGAACCAGATTTCTTTATTCCATGAGGATTATTCAAAACAGATGTTCATGCCTTTTGTATAATAAGTGTATATTCCGTATCTATACATTACACCATGCTCTGGTTTTGTTCTAGAAATTATCTTTAGCACATTACACCGTGTTTCTCAAGTGCTTTATTATTTTATCAGTTCTCTGAATCGAATACAGAGTTGTTGGGGTTTTTTTTTAATCAAATATCTAGATTTTTACATATTAACATTTTTTAAAAGGCTAAAGTTCTCAAGAAAAAAATAAAAGTGAAAGAAACCCAAACAAATGAATTACAAAAAAGCAGATGGGTAATGTGCTTAACACAAATACAGACATAAAGGAACATCTACCATTAGATGCACTCTCCAAGGAATGACAGATCACATGCAGGATAAAAAGATATGTTCATACAACGAAAGAATAGAAAAACATCATGGAGGTTACCGAAAGAAAGAAAAAAGGGTGTGTGTGGGGAGATATAACACATGGTTATCTTTAATCTATAAATACATATTGTGAATTGACATTTTAGGACTGAGCAGCCCTTTGAGTGGGAACGGTCTGATACGTTCGTGGAAAGGTTCCAACACCAATGACACATGTGAGTTGCTTGTCGGAGATATTCCTCGGTGGGAACTTTCCGCAGGGCAAACTACCAAGTTTGTTTCATTTTTGGGTTAGTGGCTTTTACACTCTGTTCTTTACCATTTATATTTGTACAACTTGCTTTGTGAAAGGCAGTGTAACACTGTGTACAGTATCTCTCTGATTGGATATGTCTTATGGATCAACTACAGTAAAACGAGCCCCTCTACTTACGGTGTTCTGATATACATGGAGTGTGTCACTATATGTGTGTGTCAGGGCAGCTTAAAGGGACACCCCACTGCCCAAATATAACAAAAAAATTGAAAATCAATGCATTTAACTATGTATTTCTTTTCACGGAGGGTATATCTAGAAACAGCTTGCAAAAGCTGCAAGTCTCTTGCCTACTGCCTTTGTGAGCCCTCCCCTTCTAACTCCACCCAGACTTTCTGAGGCTGTCCAATCAAAGACTTTCCAATGCAGCTCAATAAGAAGTGTTTGAAAGGCAGGTACTCTGGGTAATTGCTGCCTCTTGAGTTTAGTTCCACTGAGCTGAACAACCAGGAAGTAAGAGGACCAGTTGTCTGATTGACAGCCAGGAGAGTGTAACAAAGTTGAGTGGTAAAAGTGTCAATTTCTATTGAGATCTGCCCTTTTATTAAAATGAGAGAGGTAAAGTGACTTGGAAGTCCGGAGTGTCCCTTTTCAATGTGGGAACTTGACTTTGTGGGATTGCCGGGATCTCAAACTAAGGGCCAAAGTAGCCAATACTAGAAGCAGATTTTTCAAAAATCAGATTTTTTTTCTTCTTTGTTTATTTTGGATTAACATTTGAAATCTGCTTTGACTCCATGTTGCGGTAAAGGTTAAATTGGAAGAGGGTGGTCCCCCCTTGATGAAGTTTCAGGGACCCCCTTGAACGGTTGTACATGATAACGAGTAAACCAGCTCTGGCTGTTTTCACTGGTTAACAGTAACTGACAGCAGAGGAATTACCTAGAGTAAAACAAACACTGTATCTCGTTTCACAGTTTGCTCGTCAAGCTGAATAAAGCATCGTCTAATTCTCATGCCATCACAGGCTAAAGTCTGTTTTTACTTTGTGTTTCAACTGCTTAACCTCCGGTTCATGTACTAAAAAATGATGGAAAGTTGTTAATTATCATCTGGAGTGTATAGTAAGGGATTCCACAGCTGCATTCACTGGGATCCAGCCAGCTCAGGGTTAATATTGGAGAAAACTGCAGCGTACACATTCCTAAATGAGATTCCGCTCACACAGGCGGCACCATGTGGGTACAGATTCTGCTCACACAGGCGGCACAATGCGGGTACAGAATCCTCACACAGGTGGCACCATGCGCGTACAGATTCCTCTCACACAGGTGGCAACATGCAGGTACAGATTTCTCTCACACAGGCAGCACCATGCAATTACATATTCCTCTCACAGGTGGCACCATATGCGTACAGATTCCTCTTACACAGGTGGATCCATGCGCGCACAGATTCCTCTCACACAGGTGGCACCATGCGTATAGATGTCTCTCAAACAGGTGGCACCATGAGTGTAGCTTTCTCTCACACAAATGGCATCAGGTGTCTAAGAATTTTTCTTTAAAAATCTGCTTTACACCAGTAATAAGTGGGGGGAGCATTACAGCACCCACTTCTCTTCATTTTTTTCTTGTGTTCTTTTGCAAATATCTTCTTTATACATGGTGTTCAACACGTCTTCAAGCATAGGATTCTTGTTATTCTGTGGGGACTTTAAGAGTCTCTGGTGATGCTTGCACTCAGACGTCTGAATATCCGATCATACATAACCGTCATATACATGTAAAGCACCCCAGAATTGTTTGTGCAAAATAATACATTCTCACACAAAATACAAGACTATGATGCATTTTTCAAATATTTATTATAAAAATTTTTTTTATCTTAACCAAAATACAAATGACTGCATCTAACACAAGTGCACGACTACTGCACACGATTCCTATACACTCTTCTAGGCATCGCACAAACTGACCTGCAGCCCAGAGGGGGTTTGTAATATCTGTACATGAATAGACAACTGCCCTCTACAAGTACTCAGAAGGGCCTATTCCACACATTGCTACCCATCCCAAAGTGCGGTTTCCCTCTAAGCAAAGCAATAAGAAACACTACATGCCTGCCCTGACTGCCATTTAATTTCCCTTTAAAAAGATAAAAAAATGAAGAAAACGCGCACACAAACATATGAATATACACATATATATACCCATCCAAGTCATTTGGATTCTGATCTGAATATATGTACATATATGTATGTGTAGCTATTATATATAATATAAATAAAACACACACATACACATATAAACAGAAAGATGCTCTCCGTGTCTCGGCACACAGATACACTGCGTGTATACATGTGTGTGTGTCAGCTGTTTGTGTGCTCATAATTACTTATATTCTCTCATATATACACATATTATTATTTACACATATAAAAATCCATACATGATTCTATTTCTGAAGATATGCATGTGTACTTTACACTTAATATGGTTTGCTTCTATACATTATATAACACATGCAATCTCGCACTCACACTCATTCCACTCTCACTCATTCCCCTTCTTTCAGTTCTGCCCATCTTCCGGTGGGGTATGGTCCTGGAGGTATAGAGAGAGGTTCCCACGGGAGGCACCCTCCGGCGTGGGATGTTGAGGGGGTGTACGCAGAGATGGGGGCACAGTGGATGATTTGATCTGGATGACACGCGTGTCCATAACTTCGCAGTCAATCTGCATCATGGTTTCATATCCCCGGGAATTATTATATACAGTGTCTGCAACAGACAGGGTACACAGAGATTGAGCATGGAGGGATTACATGTAAAGAAAAGAGGGGAAAGGGTGATGGAGATAGGTAAAAGAACATATAAGGAAATGATTAGGGGATTGCAAACACATGAATATCAATAGTTAAAACCATTGAGGGGCATTTAAAAACCATTGAGGGGCATTTAAAAAATAAGAGAGGAAAAATACAGTCTATTCATTATACAATTACTTTTCCGACTTGTTAAACCCTAACAAAATAACAGGAAAAGGGATGTAATTTTACATTTAAAAAAATTCCAGATAAGACATCAACACATGACTATCGAGAACTTTTCTTCCAGAAGTGTCTCAAATCCTCTTTGTATATTGCATCTTCTAAAATTTAAAGAGGAACACATAGATTGTGAGCTCTCCTCACCCCTCTCTATAATTATAAAGCACTGTGGAATATGTTGGAGCTATACAGAAACTAATGATAATAGAATAATAAAGATTTATTCCCTTGTTCACCATATGTATGTCACTGACCAGCCTTATGACAGGCTGAAGCCTCCTGCTATTCTCATAGAGAGCAATATTACATGGTACGATACAAGTGTACAGTCTTAAAGAATGATACCATTCTGATAAGCTCATTTAAAGGGACACTCCAAGCATCGAACCACTACACAGTATTCTAGTTTTTATGGCCCTAAGAAGCAGTGTCTGCCTGAGAACAAACAGCCTGCTCAAAGCATTAATAAAAGCCTCTGTCACGGACAGGAGGTGCCATGTGAACACAGCATTCTGAGCCACATAGGGAACTACAATATCGACATCTAATGGCAAGGCTCCTGCAAGTGAAGGCAAATAGGATAACATAAAAAGATATAATTCAGCGCTCAAGTGAAATAATTACAGTCAGCTAAAACAAGTACAGAGTCTCTCTCTTCCAATCGAAAGCTGGGTAAAAAAAAGGGGGTAGGTTTCAGCGCCTAAATAGTCCTCATATGGGGTAAATAAAAGGGGGGGGGGACTATAAAACAGTAACATTATAAAAAAAAAACAATATGGAAATACACTTAACGAGTTTCACCTAATATTGTTTTTTTACTCTGTTACTGTTTTTTATATTAAAGTACTTTTTATTGGACCTATTGCTGCTGCTGTTGGATCTTTTGGGTTATATCCTTGGTGGGGATAATACCACCTAAGCGCACTGGATTGAGCAAACCACATTTTGCTCTTGAACATGTTAGTAGGGTCTTTTATCTTTTTTATTGTGTTTTGCACTATATATATATATATATATATATATGTATATTTCCACGGAGAACAACTATCTGCACCTATACCCTTGAGTGGAGATCATACCACTTCATACGATGTCCTAGGAGCCATATTTACAGCTCAATAACATGTGAGTGTGCATTTTTATCTATACCTACTTCTGCTCCATAGCTCAATATACTACACCATATACAGTTTTAATTTTTTATTTCTATGAGGATACCTCCCACAACCACGACAACACAAAGAATCAACCTTGCACTTGACCCTTAGGCTGGGATTATTCCACCCAGGTGCATAAGTTGGAGCTGTATTAAAGAGAAGTGTGAGTGTCCATTTTTTATCTAATTTACACCAAAGTGTTAAATACTACACTATTGTATCTCCCTTTTATATACCCCTATGAGAACTATTTAGGCGCTGCACCTACCTCCTGTTCTTTGCTAAGTGAAGGAAAATACTTGAACAATTTAATGGGGAGCTAGACTTCCCTATGTGAAGTATGTGGGAAAAGCCACTAAGGCCAGGTCACTCTATATTGAACATGTATTTGTAACGCCACATCATGTTTTTCCGGAAGGCTACTTACCATTTACAGACATAGCTGGCATTACAAGGGACATCTTAGGGCGAGAGGTCTTATTGTGACTTATAGCAGGAAGGAGAAGGTGATCCTAAATTTAAGAGATAAAGAAGTGGTTGACTTGAAAGCCAGCTTGAGAGGAAAAACAAATAGAAAGGATTAAATGGAGGACACAATACTGACCCTTCGGAATGACACTACGTAGAAAGTATCTTCTCGTCTTTCAATGGCGTCCATGAGAAAGTTATCACTTTGATCTGTGGGACCATACAGCTGTAACGGAGCAGTGTGGAGCCTAAAGAACAGTGTTAGAGATGAGTTTCAGAATAAAACACAGGAGAGGGGAAGAAGCAAATCTGTAGATCTCAAAAGAAAATCCAATAAATGAAAAGAAGTGAAGAAGTGAAGTGACGAACCTCTGAGTGAATCTAGAAGTATGAGCTGGGACCAGGTCTGAGAGGGACACAGCCTTCCTAATTAATGGCTTCTGAGGGGAGGAAAAAATAACAACAATAGATCACGTTAACAGATCTAGAACAAGGAGAACGTTCATCATCTCACACGGCTTACAAAGCTCCCCACCTTGACTCTTCTTGTTTTTTTGGTGGCTTGCTTTCCAGTCTTCCGCTCGTTTTGATGTCGACGGACCCACAAGCTGAGTTCATCTGCCAACCTGAAAAGAATAAAACATTTTTTTTATTTTTAAATGAATGTTAAAAAGGGAGGGGGCAGTTATATAGAGAAAGATAACACCACAGGAAGATAAAGCGAGGTAGAGGAGGATGGGGAGTACAGGATGGAGATATATTGCAAGCTGTGTGCATGGTCAGGAAGTCAAAGTGCAACATATATTGGACCAAAATATACAGAATTATGCCAGGCAGTTGCATTTCCAATTCTGCTTTTGGCCTATAACGTGGAATGCGCTACAAATTCCCAACAACCTGTTAGTTGGATGGTAATTAATTCTGTATTCTGTCTGGCAGGGCTTGAAAGCACTCGGTGGTACGTACACACGGAATCTTTGTTGTCCATAAATTATGACTAGGAGTTTGCAGTGTGAAATCAAACTGAAAACATATTGGCAACCAAAGGGTTAAATATTTGTTCCAGCTGCCTGACAGGAGATATGAAGCCTATGAACCAGAGCACAGGCTGCGCAATTTATCTGGGGCTCGTTATGGCTATTTATTTGATTATGCATAATCCTGGTGTTTTGCAAACATGTTTTAGGCAGTAAGTGGACACACATGTCGGTACATGTGTCATTCCCCTTTAATCAGCAAATCTTCCAGAGGAATACACGTTGGTCCTGTAAACTACGTTTCTTTAGGCTGCGATCTCTGTATCGAGATTTCCTCAGGAGAATAAAGACTGCAACCATACCTGAGGCAATCCTAACTTGCTTCATCAATTTCCCATGTACAAGTACATGCCTAAAAGGACACGTAGAAACGCAAGACCCACTCAGCTGGTGCTAGTGACAGGCAGATTAAAACAATATGATGCTTAATTTCCACAATCCCAAAGTAAAAGCCTTTCCCTCAGCAATGAAAAGGTTACGAGTACTTGAAATAAATACAGCTTCCAGGGTTGTGATGAGTGCCTTGTCTGGTCATCTTAGAGCACAAAGAGAGAACAGGGCTCTCTAATAAATACAGCTCGCAGGGTTATAATGAGTGCCTTGTCTGGTCACCTTAGAGCACAGAGAGAGAACAGGGCTCTCTAATAAATACAGCTTGCAGGGTTATAATGAGTGACTTGTCTGGTCACCTTAGAGCAGAGAGAACAGGGCTCTCTAATAAATACAGCTCGCAGGGTTATAATGAGTGCCTTGTCTGGTCATCTTAGAGCACAGAGAGAGAACAGGGCTTTCTGACTAATATGTGGCCACTCAAATAGAAGCAGAAATATCATTAAGGGCTGGTAACTCTGGAGACTGCCTGCACTAAATTCTCATTCTATTTGCTTATCTGGAGCTGTGCGTTTTATACTCGCTATGGGGGTACACACACTCAGCGTTGCAAAATAGACAGAACAGGGTGAGTGACGGCGATAAACAATATCACCACCTACAGCTGCTTTATATCTAACAATATAACACCCCAACAACTGGAGAGAAGTTTGTTGGGGTACCCCTACATTATGGGGAGCATGGAATACAAAATGTATTGTTCCACAAGATGATCTAGCATATTATTAGTGTTTATGTGGCGCTAGGATATTCCTCAGCGCTTTACAACAGAGTGTTCCCTTGTCTTAAAGTAGACACCGAGGATATTCTCCATTATCCCATATCCTGGATAAGCACAATGGGAAACATATATATTGTAATAAAATAAAATAAAAAATACACTCGTATAAAATTGATCACTCCATGAAGAAATTTGTTGTCATTAAATAACATGTGGAATCCAGATCTTCCTGGTTCTCTCAAATCATTCCCACAGAAGGTTTAAGGCAATATATTAAAAACATGATATATTCCACGTTCCTGAGATCATACTCGTCACCTGCCGAGCCCCCCACTCCGACGGTAAAGTGATATCAGACACAAAGATGCTGCATTATCTGCTCTGAGTAAAGAATGGCTGTTTCTCGCTCTCCATTCTCCCTGTCCCTTTCCTTGTGAAAGTACAAATGATTGATTCGAATAAACTCAGCCAAGCTGTAGTAAAGTCACAGCTACTGAATTCATATACTGTAATCACAGGTTGTACAGACAGAATTGTGATGTATATTTATCTAGTAGACCATGGAAAAAAAAAAGGCCAGTTTCTATGGTAACAGTATTTGAGCACTTTTGCTACCTCATATTGAGAGACGTTTCTACTTAGATTCTAGAATTTCTCGCCTACAGGAGTCATAGCTTAACTAGAGGTTCATGAAATACATTTCCCATGATGCTCAGCTAGCTTCGAGACTGGCTCTGAATCACAAAAGGGAGTGTTTACATTGCAGCCTAGTGATAACTCCAGTGGCCATTCCTCAGGTGGCTATTAGGGGTGCTTCTTGGGTCAATGCTGTACAGTATGCAGCACTGACATTCAGTGTCCCCACCCTCTGCATGGAGACACTAAACTAATCTCACAGAGATGAATTGATTCAAGACATCTCTGAGGAGATGCTGATTGGCCAGGGTGGCGTTTGGCTTGTGCTGGCTCTGCCCCTGATCGGACTCCTTGACATTCTGAGGCAATCCAATGCTTTCCTATGGCAATGCATTGTGATTGACTGAGATCACCACCTCTGATGATATCAACCAAGGAGGCAGTTTAGGAGCAGAGCAAGCACCAACAGACTGGAATAAAGGTAATATTATACTATATTTAGAGGGGTAAGGGGGGCTGATGGTGTTTTTAACACTATAGGGTCATGAATACATGTTTGTGTTCCTGATCTTATAGTGTTCCTTTAAGCTAATTTAATGTGGTCTAGGTTTTGTTATGAGCATTCGTTTTCATCCATAGCCTCCTGTACTACAGCCATGATGTGTAGATTAGAGTGGCTGGCTCTCCATATTAGCTTTGGGTGTGTTTGTCAGTTATAATACAGCATGGCCACAGAACACTGTCTAAAAGTCTGATTGCCCTGGCTGGCTACATTTTCCCCCCAGGATACCATCCAATCATTACAGTATGTTCTGGCGGGCCGGAGCCTAGAGAACAAACTAAACCTTGCGCCTAGTGAAACTTCCATTTTCATGGAATGAACCACAGGCCTCCATGTCACTTTCCTCTCATCCATCAACCTATCCCACCCTACCTTCTTTCTCTGTGTCTCAAACATTGCAAAACTGAAAGCAATAATAAATTACAAAAAACACAGCCGTTGAATCCAGAATCAGGGCTTGTAACAGCGTGTTTAGCATGATATCAAGGCCTTGTTACCAGGAAACTGCTCTGTTCAGTACAATGGCAGAGGGTTTTACGTTTTGTGCAAAGAAACTCCACACACACTTTGGGGAGACATATTGGCTTTTGAGGAAACTTGATAGACATTGATAACAGACTAATGGCAGCTGCAAGTATTATTCTGGTATAAAAAGGGTGGAGTTAGTAAACGCAGAGGAGGAGTTACCAAAACAAGCTACTGCAATGGATGCTGAATGACAGCGGTGAAAGAGTGCATGCGTTGGCATATTCTAGCTTTAATTCTCCTAGCTATCAGTAATTGGTGAAAACCGTGGCCTGCTCACAATTTGATGCAACATTGTGTTTTGTATTCATGGAAGCACAATGTGTGATTGAGGATCATGATCAGTATTGGTGTTTTTAGAGGAAAACTAATGCCATCTGATACTGCCACCATTTTAACACAGAATGAACATTGCTCAGCTTTATGTACAACATGATGGACAGCCGTAAGAGATACAGGGACAAAAAGACACAATGTGGATCAACAAGTGGACAACGGCAGCCTCCTAGCTTACAATACATAAACTGTGACACAGCCCAAATAAGGCCTTAATACAAACCTGAGCGATTCAGTGTGGTTGAAGTGTCTACAGTCTGACGTGAGAAAGAGCTGATCTAGATCTCGAACCATCAGATGCTTAACATTTGCTAGTGAGCCACTCGAGTTACTGAGACAAAGAGATAGACAGTCTGTTATAATTACAGAAACAAAGCAACATTACTGAGAGCAGTGGAAGGAGCCCAAATTGGCACCACGATACACACAAATCACAACAGAAATAAGCCAGAGCAAGGACAAAGAGAGGACATTTACCGGAAAGTGCTCCTTGTGGTAGCAGTGGTGTGTGTACGGTAAAATTTCGGCTTTTGCGGCTCAGGTGGCTCTTCGACCCCATTGTAAGTCAGTAAGTGACGTGCATGATGGGAGATCTCAGGATTTCTCACGTTATCATCCTTTCTGTTGCGGATGAGACTAAAGAGAAAAAGCAGTAGGTAGAAGGTTTTAAGGTCTCTAGTCCCGAACATGGCATCACTGCTACACTTTATATTGTAGACTCACCTCGTAGGTCCAAAGTTGAATGCAATGAACACAAGGACAACCATCACACAGACAACCTTCCTTCCGCCCGATGAACTTTGTAGAGTTGAGTTCTAGACAGAGAAACATTTAGCATTAAGAGTGTCCTGTCATTACATATTTTTCTCATGTGAGACTGATATTCTTTTAATATTGGACACTCACGGGCTGTTGCGTTTTCAACGGTTTAATTAGTCCTGCGAGATTACAGAACACGTATTCTTGAGAAATCTATTATGGGTCACTCTGGACTTCTAACCAACATAATATGCTTCTCTCACATGCAGATATCTCTTTTCAATGTCTTAATTTTGCTGCCAGCTATGCTAAGCAGAATGCTTTCAGATCACACAAATGTAGAGTGTTTCTATTTAATATGTTCACATAGACTATATGAGATGCTTTCCATTGTTAGTTTTCTATAAAATAAAGAATTCTGCAGACTCCTGGTTGATAAGATACTCTGCAGGTAAGTTTCCCGAGTGTCATACCTCTCTGATTAAATGTTGCAAGGTCTCCCTTAGTTCCCTGTTCTCTCTGCGAGCAATATCTAGCTGTCTCTCTGTCTCCTGTAGTCTCGCCTCCAGACTCTGCACATATTCCTTCTTCTTCCGCCGGGACTGGCATGCAGACTCCCTGTTTTTGATCATGCGTTGCTGTCTCTTTAAGAGCTTTGGCTGTAAAACATGATGTTGTGAACCACTTTGTCAACAAAAGTCTTGGAAACCATTATTCAATACCCCTGACCTCAACAGAATCCTGAAAGTAATCCCGATGAAGCTTTATGCTCTTGCATACAAATGAGATCCACAGGAAGCTGTACATTAAGGCCATTAATAATGTCATCTACTGCAGATCACATGCTGTAATATGAGTGTTTAATTAGTAACAGTCTCCTATTCGATCTGTATGCACTTTAGCGACTTGGCTGACCATTTATGCTGAACGCATTCTTAACTCTTTCCTGCATGACACACTGTTCAAATTACCTCTCTTCAGTCACATGATACAAGCTGAACAGGCTTTATTGATAAGAAATGGGCAGCAGAAAATAGGCCTTTATTAACCCTCTCAGTGCCAAGCGGGAAAATACACAGGACAGTCTTCCCTTTCCTGATCACAGAAGCCCTCAGACTTACATCCACATCAGGGGGATTGCTTTTACTGGAGCACGGGGCCGGCACAATAGTCTTGGCTTCTGGCTTAGCAGGAGATGTTCCGGATCGTGCATTCTGTACAGTCATAAGTTGTGATACTAGAACAGGTGGTGATGCTGGAGGAATGGAATGACAATAGGCATTAACACTCGAGAGGACTGTGAAACCTATAAAATTAAAACCACAGATCACTCAGGACTATGCTGAATACATAACACAATGGATTGGGAGAAAAAAGCAAAGTCTGTGGGTGAGATCTTACTGAGCTCCAGTGAAGACTTCAAGTGGAACCTTAATATTGGGGGGGTCTGCTTACAGTCTGAGACAAGACCACAGCTCTCCCACACAAATTACCGGTACTTATCTGGTTAAAAACAGCCAACAGCTGTCAGTCTAAATTTCAACGGTTCAGGTAAATTCGGTTCTATATTTCCAAAACTAAAAATGCAATGAAATGTCCTTTTATAATTTAACTTGAGAAACATTAACCCTTAGAATGCTATGGAATGCACAATGGAAGACTTGCATATAAGTATGTCCACTAACTGGATATTAACTGAAAACAATCCCAGCAATGGCAGTCCCGATGAAGGCCATTAAAGTGAATAACTGAGCACCCACCTTTCTACACATGTAATAAAACAGGGCTAGTCTTATCATTAGGCTACCAGTATACAGATGATATAGCAAAGCTCATGCCTTCAGTGCAACAGGCCAATGGATGGACATACCAGAGCGACTGCCCTATCAAAGTTAAATCGTTTTAAATGTCCCAGGGTTCCTCACATTGATGGGTGAAAAGATTTGCCATTTCTGGTCTTGCTTTCTAAACTGTGTAAGCCATTATATTTCTTTATGAAATACAAATATAATTGACAGTACTGCTAGCTTATTAATGTGCTTATAGTGCCAGTTTGCTTCTCAGACACCAAAGTTTATTTTTCATTTTAAAAGATCATTCAGAGGGTCAAGACCTTCGGCAGGGGTGTAGGGGGATTTGTTCATTAAGCCCTGAGCCAGCTGTAGAGTTCAGCTCTGTAAATCCACTAGTTGCTGTTTGCCAAACGTTATGCCGGATTGGAGGTTTCACGTGTTGGCAAAACTCAGTGTGTCCCTGCCAAGACTAGCAGAATGTTGCGGAAATTCACTCGCTCTCTCAAGTGAGTTGACAATGGATTTCCAAAATTGAATCCAAAAAGTAGGAAAATATAACCCTGTTGGAAAATTTCCCCTTAATTGTAGGTGTATTGTCAGTTAAAATGTGTTCTTCGTTGTTGTCCTAGGGACAGGTGGCATACAAGAGAACTCTGTGGGTTTGATAAAGTTATACCATTTCTCCACCTTTCCACCCACAGAATGGTTTAGGTGCTATCTCCAATACCTAGCTAGCTATGTAGACAGCCTGAAACCTTACCCAAGAGCATTTTCTCCAGTGATGTTTTTAAGGGCTTCCATTTACAAGTGGAAAGTACACAAAAACAAACTTTTTGGCTGAGAGTGTAAAGCTCCAGAGAAGTCCCGTGGGAATACTATCACAGGGACATTCCGCAGTCTTGAAAGATTATTTCATTAAAATTCAAAACGCAAGGAAAGGAACAATATCTGGCTTTTGATCCTGATTCCACAGTAGTCTTGAAAACAGCTATTGTGGTCTATTGCCAGGTCCTTAACCCTTTCAGGTCCACACAAGGCTGCAACGGAAGGGACTAAACACTCAGTGGCAAAATGGCCTGAAAATGCAACACACTGAATAGCAGCCTCTGGCAGTGGTAGGGTCCTTCTGTCAGATAGAAGGATAGAAGGTGGGGGCGGGATTGTCATGGACTCCAATCCTGGATCTACTTAACCCTTTGAGTGCCAAGCGTGAGTCCAATGCATTGCCTCTGGCTTTCAAAGAGATGACTGCATTAATGCTCTGTTCATTTCTGGACAGGTCTTGGCACATAATTTTAAAGGAAGGCTACAGATAGCAAGCACTGAGCAGCCGCTACTGTTGAAAAGAGGTGATAGGAGTTGCATTCCGCTAATAGCTGGGGAATTTGAGATTGGCTAGCACTGCTCCACAGACTGCCCAGTCTCTTTATTAGGCCCCTGATGTAACACTTCTTGCTCTGGTTTCCACTGTTCGATCCAAGACTCAGCAGGCCTTAAAGTGATTATAAAGCATCATAACAAACTCTATATTAAGGCGGCACTCGGGCAGAGATGAAATGGGTTTTGCAGTTTGCAATAATATGCCTAATCCTTGGTATAACATATAAAGCTCACCTCCTCTTTAACACGCTGAAAAAAGAAAATCACAGCTCAACAGATATTTACTAATTAAAGAGTGCTTACAGGGGCCAAACTTAGCAAAATCTCAATCTAAATCTCTATTGCAGTGTGTTAACTCTTATAACAAGAGGCTAAGCCAATCCTATAACGGCCATCCTGGCAATCGTGTAATTAAAGGGTGACCAGTTTACTTAAAACTCCAGCCATATTGACAGCATTTTAGTGCTTCATCTTTTGACTTTAGTACTCAGCTTGTATTTCATGAGTTACAGCGTTTGATCTGGAGATTTCTGCAAAAGGATTCACTGTAGAAGGTAACACGATGCAAGTAAAAACCCAGCTATTGCTAAGCCGTTCTTGCATAACCTCAGTGCTTATTAACCCTTCCTGTTCAAGTTAAGGCTTTTCAAACCCTGTCAGGAACTAAGTACAGACCCTTCATGATAAACCGTTCCAGAGGTCAGCATCACTTCCAACATGCCATTCTCCTAGCGTCTGAAAAGTCTCTATGGTGTTGGAGTTGGGGGGGAGGTTTATAATGACTCAATAAATAATATTAACTCAAACCTATCCACAAGTCTTGGGTAATTAACAAGAAAAGATCACCCAGCAATCCCAAATTTATTGTATGAAAGGCTGTATAAGGGGGGTATACCTGTGAGAGCTGGTGCAGGTGCAGGTCCTGGGGTAGAAGCGTTATTTACAGGGTGCAGGATGATGGTGTGAGACGTGTTGCTTTGGGGTGGAGGAGGTTTGGTTCCTGGGCTAGGCCTCGGTTGCAAAGCTGGTTTCTTGGGAACTAGATTGCTAGACTTAGAGAGGCACCCGGATGAAGCTGAAAGAAAGAAAGGGAGAAAAAAGATTTCTAACTAGTAAGAGAATTATCGAATCATTGAAACAGTCAGCCATTCAGGTGCTTGTAGGCCACAAGAGCTAGGACTGGCCATAATAAACCAATAATTCTACAGCTCATACCTCTGGTATAATCTATACGTCACTGGAAGAATCCAGTAAGCTTTCATCAAGCTACTTTATCCCTAAAAATTTTAGTATTACAACAAAATTAGCTGTAAAAACGTAAAATGAAAATAAAAAATACTGAGCAATGAGACAGGGGACAGCTCCAGTTTAATATTGTCACATTATTCAGACTGCTCTCTTGCACCCCTGGAGGTAACATAAAAAATTAAAACATTCCACTGCGTATTGCTAATGTTAAATACTTAATTACGCCCCAAACTGATTTTCCTCTCCAATATGTGAAGATCTGGACAGACAATTCTCCTTGCAGACTGTCCAGCAGTAGTCACCACGGAAAACCGCGCTAATACTGTCTGTGTTTGTTCCTCAGTTACAGAACGTAAACAAACAAACAATGTCAAGTTACCATTACAGCACTACGGGCCCCTGGGGGAGGAAGGAGTACACAGAGAAAATCTGGAGCCCCGCTCCCCTTCATTTATAGGATTTATTGATTTAAGAGAGGAAAATCTTACTGATTAGAGTAACACCTGCAATTACGCAGGCTGGAAATTTAAAGACACTAAACTTAAAAAAATAAAGCTTATTTAATAAAAACAAATGTTAAACAACTGCACTTGATTTTGGTGGAAAAGTACCATTTACAGTGTAAGATACCACACTGGTGAGATTGCAAGAATGCAAGGTAAGGGGGTCACCAAAGTTCTCTGTTTCTTAAAGTGGGACACGCTCATTTTTAAAATCAACGGACAGGACTCCACTGATTTCACTTGGTCCCGTACAACTAGAAAGAAATACACTATTTTCTGGGTTCCGCGAGCAGTTTCAATGTTATCAGAAATGCTCATCAATAATTAGCAACTACATTATAAGCGGATGCTGTTCGCCCCTGGGAGCAGCAAACAACCAGTTGTAATCAATTCCATAACATAAAAAATACTTACACAATAGACACAATAAGAAATTAACTGGTACAAAAGAACAAAATAGATCAAATGCAACACTTCCTACAATTCAAGCTGTATAGCTGATAACCCTTCGGGCACACAGAGTCTCGTCTTGATTGTAGTAAGTGCTGATTTTGGTCAGTTTTGTGCAACTGTGGAAGGTATATCTACCCATCATATTGCTTAGCACAGACACAACCCCATTTGCATTGTCTTTCCAAAACATTGACCTGCTATTTGCTAACCAATACATGTCACTAGACTGGGACATACAAGGCGGCACAGGCAGGAGAACAATGTTTGGTCTCATTTGTAAAAGGGTGTAAATGCCTTGAGGAGAGCAGAGCAAGGAAATCTGCAGCATGTATGGAACAGTCAAAGGAATGACTATACAATCTACAAAATAAATAACGTGAGCAAAGGCTTTGGGGGAAACAAAGGCAAACCTAAACAAGTTAAGAGAGCAATTGGACCCCCGTTTTACTGAAGATACTCTATGGTTTATGGAGGATTTGTAGCAATCAATAATGTTTTATGTGTCACATTACACCCAAGGGCAACGCAATAAAGCCACACACAAGGAATAGACAGTGGGTAGTCACCTGTCACGGCAGGCACAGGAAGTAGGGTTATTTGGAGAGCGCCACAGGTTTGAAGTGATGCATCCTGGTTGTGACATGGCTGCGGAGGGGGGAACTCAACTTTCACTGTGGCTCCCAAATCTTCCAGAGATTGCTGGGGAAAACATAAAGCAAAACGTTAAAACTGTTTGATAGAACAAAAATGTGCGTTTAGAGAACAGTCATAATTATGCTATTAAGAGACAGACAGACAGACAAGGAGCATGACTGTGACATGGATCTGTACTTACTGCATAAAGGGCATCACAGGAGGAGGAGGAGTCACAAGATGACGAGGAGAACGGAGATGCTGGCTCGGTTTTTACTAGGAGATCTGTGAAAAGAATGGTCATTTTATAAGCTACACACCATGTTTAAAACAGCCGTTACAGAACATCTTCACAACCTGATTGCCTGCAAACTCATTAGCTAATCTGTACTTATCAGTACTCCCGCCATGCTACCTGGGTTAGTATTCAGTATTTATACCCAATTTGATTTTTGATGCAAGATGAGCATTAGCCAACAAAACCAAGGAATGCCTAACCTGTTACACGGTCAGAGTGTGCACTGATTGTTAAGGGTGTTACATTTTACTACAAATTTGAACTCACTCTACCATTTAAGATCCTGGTCATATAACTGAATAATGTTGATTCTGAATTATTACAGTGACAAACCCTTTAATATTAACTGGACAGTTATTATCACTGGGATGCTCTCACTAATACCATTTATTTTAACTGATGTGAGTGATAGCATATTTCAAATAAGGGACCAACTGGGGAGGAAACTCAATGATGTGGCTTGTACGCAAGAGATTCATGTGAATAAGACTGCTTGACTTCTCTTTCCATAAACCTTTGCCACATCCCACTATAGATTATCAATATACAATGCACAATAAACTACTTCCACCTGATTTGCTTAACTTACACATACACTGGTGCTGGGGGACCCCTAGTGGCTGATTACTATATTACACTTTTCTAATTTTTTCCTAAGAGAAAAAAAAAAGAGCCAAGAGTAAGAGGGGCGTACTGGATTCTATAAGAGAAACATAACTCAGGAACTGAACAGAAGTTCTCACAATGGCTATGAGAACATGTATATTCAATACTGTGTTATAAGCGTAACACGTAGGTCTAGGTTCTATTATATCTGGGAAACATAAAAAAGTACACAACTAATTCTCATATTGTGCTGATCATGAATCTGATGAGCACTCCACAACACGTGTGTATGGAGTCAAAAGATAAGAATTACTAAACAGTGAACTGTAGTGAAATAAAAACAAAATTTGAACATAAAAGTCCAAATGCAAAATAAACACAATTTTCCCAAATCTCTGGGTACACCACCTGTTCTGGTTTATAAAAAAATCAATATAGTATTCTCCAATAATATCATCAGGTTTAAAAAAACAAAACAAAAAAAAAACACAGGAAATATTCAGTCTTTGCAAAAAATATATATGATAGAGTCCTGTAATTAGTCCTTTAGATTCCTTTCGTAGTCAAGTAATCCAGATTAGCAGCTCATTCCATAGCACAGATCCCGGTATATAAAAATGAATCAAACATAAAACGTATGTTATAAAGTATCTATCCCATGTAATTAAAAGGAAAGATTTAATACTTTAAAAAAAAAATTATATATAAAATATAATATATATATATATATATATATATATATATATATATATATATATATATATATATATATATTCCAAAGTGGCAACGGCTGCTCTCCGGTTTTAGAAAAAAATTTTTTATTGAATCATAATAAAAGCAAAAGAATTCAGCCACCCACACACCAACAAAGTTTATGATATCAGACACACTATCACTTGCAAAACAATGTTTGTGGTACATAAATTGATGTGCCCGTGTGGATTGTATTATGTGGGCAAGACGGAGACACAACTCTGTGAGCGCATTAGAGGCCACCGTTCAAGTATTAGATTGGCGTACAGGGACGGATATTCGGACAAACCGGTGGCTCAACATTTTTTGGACAAAAACCATTCATTGACATGCCTTAAATTTGTGGGTATAGATCACATCCCTCTTCCTCGTAGAGGTGGTAATAGGAGTAAAATGCTCCTTCAAAGAGAAGCTTTTTGGTTATATCAATTAAATACAGTATCTCCTATGGGACTTAATGAAAATATTCCGTACAATGCCTTTATTTGAAATATAGCTTGTTACCAATTGTTGTTTTGTTTTTAATATTATAAGTATAATATATAGTTGGTGTTTAGTATTAGAATATAGGATGTATTAATTTTATATATTTTCTTTTTTTTAGCATGTGTCATATGCTATTAGTTTCTTTTAAATAATATTGATGTATTGGGTATACTATGCACTTGAGGTTATACAGCACTTTATTATATGATAGCATATTATAATGCACTTTACACTGATGTCACTTTAATATGTTATTTAATACTAACTATGCACTTTCAAGTTTATATATTGTCAACGCCATAATTATACATTGGCAACTTGGGTGTTTATACACCCCTTCTTAATAATGTCCAATTATTCACATGTCCACAACATTATCCACTCGTACACTATTTATTATCACGATCTTTTTTAACCAGCATTCAGTTGCCACGGTGTTGAGAATTTCGTGTATATGTCTCCATGGTGATTGGACGTATTACGTCAGCACGTGGGGTGGGAGGAGTGAGCGTGCGGGTGCGCGCGCATACCCGGAAGTTCGGTGATCCCGGTGGTGATGGCAGTAGCACACCTGGGTGAGTTTTAATTCTAATTGTATAGGTATATATTTAGGATTTGTATTCATGGTATTTGTTATTCTGTTTTTTTGGACCCTGAGGAAAGTCCCGAGCTGGGACTGAAACGTTAGGTCATTGCTTTTATTATGATTCAATAAAAAAAATTTTTTCTAAAACCGGAGAGCAGCCGTTGCCACTTTGGAGTCTGTGTTACGTGGAGCCCTGGTGTTTGCGCCCGGCGGTGGGACTTTGGACGTGAGTGCAGGGGATTTTTGTATTTTTATATATATATATATATATATATATATCTTATAGAATATTAAGTAAAGTGCAGATCTCAAGTGAGTTGCTCAGTGTCCCGAGTAATAAGCGTGTTCTTTCTGCATCAAATTATAATCAGGATCTTGCGTGTACTGGATGCTGGTGATAGGAGTCAAGTCCTCTCCAAACGAGTTTAGCCGCTTTGGCGGCTTTTTCATTGGATACCCCTTTCTCATTTTTGTAGATTTTTTTTTTTTATTATTATTAATTATTTATTTCTAATTTGGCGCTCCACTAAAACCAAGTATATCATGAAAGTCCAAATGGCGAAGTTTATATTCATGAATTATGAAGTTATGCATACCTATACATTTTTATTTCAGTTTGTTGTGCTCCCTCTAGTGTACAATATTATCTCAATCTGGTTCCATAAGACCCTGTGCTATTGAATTTCCTGATTATAGTATTGGGACACCTGAACATTACAATCGATGAGGTCAGGGATCTGTGCGGGCCATCAAGTTCTTCCACACCAAACTCATCCAATCATGTCTTCATGGACCTTGTATTATGCACTGGGGCACAGTCATGCTTTAATAGAAAAGGGCCTTCCCCAACTGTTCCCACATAATTGGAAGTATAGAATTGTCCAAAATGTCTTAGTATGCTGAAGCATTGAGTTCCCTTCACTAGAAGAAGCACTTTGCAGTCAGGCAGGTGACGTTCTCCTTGTATCCACCAAACCCAGACTCACCCATCAGATAGCCAAACAGAGTAGCGCGATTTGTCAATTCACAGAACACGTTTCCACTGCTCCAGAGTCCAGGGGCGACTTGCTTTACACCACTTGTTCCGACCCTTGGCATTGTACTTGGTGTACAATGTGAGGTTTGTATGCAGCTGCTTAGCCATGGAAACCCAGTTTTTGTGCTAATAATATAACCAGTGAAAGTGTTTGAAACTCTTCAGGAATCAGCAGAGCTTTGGGGACTTTTACGCTCTCAGCGCTGTGACTTCACGTGGTCTTCTGCTTCGCTCAGCAGAGCACTGGAGACTTTTACGCCTCAGCGCTCTGTGACTTGACGTGGCCTTCAGCTGACTTGCTGCTGTTCCTAAATGCTTCACCCTTTCCAATAATACCTTGTGTATTATGGAATATCTAGTAGGGATGAAGTTTCACAAACTGACTTATTAGAAAGGTGGCATCCTATCACAGTACCTCACTACTGAGCTCTTCAGAACGACTATTTATTCACAAATGTTTGTAAATGCAGACTGCTTGGCTAGGTGCTTGAATTTAAACACGTGGCAATGGGTCTGATTGAAACACTTGAATTCAATAATTAAGAGGTGCCCCCCCCTTGTCCATATAGTGTACATTCTATATTGATACACATTTCCATTTTTTCCCTATATATTCTTTTCTCAGAAGGATACCATTTCCAGCACTCCCAGGATCTGTTTATATCTCCAGTGCTACTAAAGGTCATTGAAATGATTCAGCTCGCTCTGATGTGGAATTGGCTGAGTAAGGTTTATGACAGAATCTACTAAAATAATGAATCTGCTATTCCCCACACATCAGAAGGCTGTCATCTTAACACAGAAGAAGTCACAATATCTTAAGTGTTTTTTAGATGCAGCTATTTTGAGCAAATGTTTGAAGTGAAGTTTTCACTTCCCTGTTTAGGGAATAAACCCTTGAGTGAAAATCTTGCTTGAATGCAAAACATGCAAATGGAAATACAGAATCCAATGTATACAAACCTGACAAATTCTTGCTCTGGATTTCATCCCAGGTTGAAGACATGGAATATGATTCAACATCCATCTGGCTGTCATACTGGGAAGAAAAGCAGCATATTTCAGAAAGAGCAGGGGGCATGGGAAAAAGACAAGCGAGATGGCGATCCACTTACCAAATGCAAAGGGTAATTATCAAACCCGGAGGGAAGCAAATCCCCGCTGTCGTCCGTCTCATCAATGTAACTGTACAGGCCTGTAGCTAAATAATTGAAAAAATTTGCATAAGCAGAGAAGTAGTGAAATGTGTCTGGATGTGTGGATATTTATCACTATTATTGGTTTTATAAAATGCCGACATATTATGGATAATGCTGTACAATGGATACACATATTTTTAGCTAGAAGGGTACAACACACATGTTTTGGTTATTCAGTGAACTATGAGTTGTAGGGAATTGGCAACAAAACTGCAAATATTAGTCTAAAACTGCTGAAAAAAAAAAAAAGTGTCAAACACCACTACCATGGCCAAAACTGTGCAGTATCCTCGTCAATTCCTCACAAACCCCAGTGTAACAGGAGCCCTCTGTTTTCCCAGTGGTTATGGTGGTTTCCCTTTTCTGTGTAATGAAGGCCACATCGCCCCTGGGTTATGGAAAGGACAAATATGCCAGTATTTTACCATGGAACTATGGCCCCTGTGACTTATTTGGTTCTAGGACATTATTTCTGCCTGCTGGAACTTTTACCAATACCACTTCGACCTGTCAAAGTAATTTGAAGTGGTACTTCGAACCGTCGAACAGCCGAAGTACCAGGCCACACATAATGGGAAGTGTGCTGCTTGTTAACCTCCCAGAGGTTGTGGTTAACCGCAGCTTAATTGACGAACTGCTGGGTGGTTGCCGTTCGTATAGCCGAACACGTGGCGGTGTTTTGTCGTTGAGTGCATGGAACTAAAATCGGACACTCGACGGCACGAACACCGCTAGAACTTTCACCTCCAGCTAACTTCAACTAAATCCCCATGAACAGAGCGCCGTTCAGTAAAAGTAATCTACCGAACGCACTTCAACTCTGACATTGTTACACGAATGGTCCCGTTCGAATATTGGAAGTGCATTTTAATCATTGGAAATAGACCGACCACACTGCCTAATTCTCTGGAACTATTGTGGGCATAAACCCATGCGTGCAGTCGGTCAAAAGAGACTTCTAGGTATTTTCTGAACCCCTGCTCTGATCTGGGTGATTTTTGGATATGTTGGTCACCCAGATCAGGGCTGTCAGGGGATATAACATTTATGGGGATATGTGTTTTTGGGGTGTTTTCTGTACTTTGTGAAAAATGTGTTTTTTCTGCTTGGGGATAACTGAGTTAATTACAGTATCTTGCTCAATTACCTCCCAAGCAGAGGGTAGAGATTGTGTGCTGTATGTGGGAGTGTCAGACCTTGTACTTTGTTTTTATTGGTTTGTACATCTTGTAATTTGGTGCTCCATCAGGCCAGGGGGGAGTTCCCCTGGCCTGAGGAATTGTATAAAAATCCAGCCTGTGCCATTAAACTGACAGACCTTCTTACCCTCAACTTGCAGCCTCGTTTCGTGCTGTAGAGAAATGCTATACCTGCTGTAATCACTATCTCTTCTCAGAGCTCTAAGGAACTTGTTTATCATAGCAGTATACTAGGATGTCGTATTGGGACTCCACGGCGCCCTTCCAGATTGGTGAAGGACATCTAGGCGGTAAATACCCCGACTACTCATGGGTGACCGTCACACCCAGTTCAGTGAAGCCCTACATATTTCTGATGTTCTGAGACACAAATGTCATAGTAGGTATTGCACTGTGCATGTTAACAGGAACAATGTGTAATCTGATCATTCCATACACTGGGATAGGTAATCTAATTCTAACAGTAAAGAAACATGGTATGCACATTAGAAAACTTATGGCTGCAATGAATCATTGCTGGACTATTCAACAAAATAGATTCTGATTATTATTAAATCATTGCTGGACTATTCAGTAAAATAGATTCTGGTTATTATTGAATCGTTGCTGGACTATTCAATAAAATCGATTCTGGTTATTATTGAATCATTGCTGGACTATTCATTAAAATAGATTCTGGTTATTATTGAATCATTGCTGGACTATTCATTAAAATAGATTCTGGTTATTATTGAATCATTGCTGGACTATTGAATAAAATAGATTCTGGTTATTATTGAATCATTGCTGGACTATTGAATAAAATAGATTCTGGTTATTATTGAATCATTGCTGGACTATTGAATAAAATAGATTCTGGTTATTATTGAATCATTGCTGGACTATTCATTAAAATAGATTCTGGTTATTATTGAATCGTTGCTGGACTATTCAGTAAAATAGATTCTGGTTATTATTGAATCGTTGCTGGACTATTCAATAAAATAGATTCTGGTTATTATTGAATCATTGCTGGACTATTCATTAAAATAGATTCTGGTTATTATTGAATCATTGCTGGACTATTCATTAAAATAGATTCTGGTTATTATTGAATCATTGCTGGACTATTTAATAAAATAGATTCTGGTTATTATTGAATCATTGCTGGACTATTTAATAAAATAGATTCTGGTTATTATTGAATCATTGCTGGACTATTGAATAAAATAGATTCTGGTTATTATTGAATCATTGCTGGACTATTGAATAAAATAGATTCTGGTTATTATTGAATCGTTGCTGGACTATTCAATAAAATAGATTCTGGTTATTATTGAATCGTTGCTGGACTATTCAATAAAATAGATTCTGGTTCTTATTGAATCATTGCTGGACTATTTAATAAAATAGATTCTGGTTATTATTGAATCGTTGCTGGACTATTCATTAAAATAGATTCTGGTTCTTATTGAATCGTTGCTGGACTATTTAATAAAATAGATTCTGGTTATTATTTGGCTTTTGCGGAAAGGTTACAGTATCTTCAATGCTGCTAATTATCTGCGTGCACAAACTCTCTTGCTCTTCTATAATGGTGCTAAGGAAGCCTAATCAGTAATGTGACAAGTGCAAGAAGCAGGCAGACAGGAAGGAGACAACATGTGGTAGACTGCAGCTCCTATCTACAGATTGTGGCAAGAGTGGGAGAAGGACTGACTGCGGAGGAGGCTTGTTGTGTTGCCAGTTCTAATTTGTTTCAATATCAAATGGTAAGCATGTGAAGGAGACGAGCTAAAGGGAAGGCTTGCGACTTACTCATGGGTTCAAGGGTAGGGCAACCTTTTGACCAAACACGGCACGAACCCTGCAATTTCACATAGTTTTCACAGGGGGTTCGGAGGAGCGGGATGGTTGCGGGATATATTAGATATGCAAATACTACGAATGTAGGCCAAATACCCATGCTATGGTTGATGTGATTTATGTATGTAACTGCGCGATGTTGCGATGCTATATGTTAATAGTTCTTTTTTTTTTCTTTTCTGTATTGTAACTCATTCTTATATCCGTACTCTGCATTGTAATGACACAGGAGTTACAACAAAAAAGCCAATAAAAATAAAATATAAAAAAATAATTAAAAAAAGGCTTGCCATGTTCCAAGTTGCAGCTCGTTTCTATATCAACTAGTGAGAGAGTTTTGTGAGCAGGTAAAATCTGACAAGCATGGAAAATCTTCACACAAAAGAGATCGGCTCTGATATTCCATGGAATCGTGAGAACAGGGATAAGGCCCACCCTTAGCTTAATTTCTCCACTCTCTACAATACGATGCAGTGCACTTAAAGGGATGTCTTGCAATGCAGAAATATATTTTTCTCTTTCTCTCCTACGTTGCCATGTCCAGAAATACAGCTTTCTGCATTGAAACTACATTAACCGCCCCCCCAATAATGCATGTTAAGTCTTTTTTATTGCAAAGCTCCGTTTAAAAAAAAAATAAAAAATTATATTAAAGATTTAATAAATGACATCACAATCTAGTACAGTCCAGGCAGAGCCAAGGTGTCCATTGAAAATGATGATTAATAGAAATACACCTTAAAGGGAAACGGTCATTCCTTACCTGGCCCTCCGCCACGATCTCACTAAACAGGTGGGTGTAACACACCTGTATCACCCACCTCTGGTCCGCCTGCGCTCCTCTTGCTGTCTTAATCAAATTACTCTGCTTGGGGACACTTCCTCTTCGTTGTCAGCTCCGTTCCTATACTCCCTAGCCAATGCTATCAGTACTGGGTATGGAGTTACCATAGCAACCACAGCACATGAGCTGTGGTTGCTATGGGTGGAGAGCAGAGGGACATTCTGTGGAAGGTGGTCTTCTGCTCTCCCTGGCTTTCAATTCCTCGGCAGATTGAGAGTCAGATTGAAAAAAAAAATATATATTTTAAAATAGTTTTTTTCCCTAAAATATACATTTGCTAGCAAAACTGCTAGTGCAACGCATAGATGGAATTTTAAGGTGTTTTATAAGAACTAAAGTTCATTTGATCGTGACCGGAGCCCTCTAATTTTTATTTTCTCTGTATGAAAAGTGAAATAAAGGCAGTTTATAACAATGATTGACAGAAAGCAAAGGATAAAGAGGTGGAGGTTGCTACATTTCAGTTAATTTTCTACACCTCACAAATGCACACATGTTAAATATAGCTAAAAGTAAGCATGTTATTAAAAACTGTGACAAGTGGCAGTTCCCCTTTAAGTTGTTTGGTAATTCGCCACTCATCTGACTGGGTCTAGCAGGCTGCATTACACAGGAGGCTTATTATACACAAATTGCACTTGTTCACAGAAGAATTGGAGATTCTGTTCATCACTAGAAGAAAGGTTTCATCACATCCATTGTATAACAGCCAGTAAATCACTCAACTGGGAATTGACCTTTAAATCTTACATTTAGGCCAAAATAGTCTCAATAAAATAGTTACTGGGTTCGGTTATTTGTCCAGCTTAGATATATAGGTAAAATATGTGCCATTACAGGTAAAATATTGATAATTTCCATATTAGATGAAAAACAAAATCCCTGCAGTTCAGCTTGTTCTTCCAAAGCCTGATCTGTGGCTATCTCCATCTTTCATTGTAATGATACCTTCCCATTAGCCTACAACTATGAGTACCCCAATATCGGTGGGTCCTACACTTATTTAACATGGGAGATTAACATGCTAACTGCAATACTTATTGCTTAAACTGCTTCCAGACACTCTCCTCGATTTATATTTTTCTGTGGTCACCTCCAAAGGGGCACCTTTAGAGTATGGGTGGGATGCTCAGGCCAACAGCAATCTGGTCTGGATTTCAAATCTACACAGAAAAAAAAGAGAGTTAGCATGTTAATCTCCCATGTTAAAATTAGTGTAGGACCCACCGATTTTGGGTACTGTGATGTAGTAATGGGCTTAACACGAAATGGCCATATGGCGGTACTGGATTCTCATATTTGTTTGCTAAGATAGGTGATATTAAGTAGACTTCTACAATTTAATACTGTACTTTTTTTGCCTGTGCGCTGTTCCCTAATCTGTGTTTTGTATACATTTTCGTCTTTATGGAAGCATCACTACTTAGAATTGCAAGTTCCGGGTGTGCCCCCTAATTCAATTTTTTTTTGTGTAGGTTTGGAATCCAGACCAGACACAGTTTTGATGGAGTTATCAGTTATGATGACTTTTGCACAATCAAAGTCCATAAATAAACACAGGGGACATAGGGTGCGCGGCAGCAATGGCTGCACTCAGCCAAACAAATTACTTCTTAAAGAGAAGAATTGGATCCAATGCTTTTCTAGACAAAGCACTGGGCACACAGAGAGTCATCGTACTTTATGGCAATTTTATTTGTCAGGTAAAAAAAGGGAAGCATCTAAACCTTAAAGGCAGAGTGGATTTGGTGCTTAGAGAGGCCCTATTTTCCAAACAAGCACATGAGCGTTTTTTTCAAACATCGCTTCAGAATCTGACAACAGACCATAAAGGAAGAACATTCTGCACATTTAACATTTATTAAACAGTGTCTCATTACGCAGAACCATTGGTGTTAGCGGAAAACAGAAACACCAGCCACACAATGCTTGGAAAATACCTTAAAAATCAGTGGCTAATGGAGACGTAATGAAAAAAAAAAAAAAAAAACAACAACATCTGATACCAATAGTACTCTGTTAAAAAGACAAATGAGGAACAATGAAAGTAAACTAATGAATTATTCAAATCGTGTACTTGTAGCACAAGTTGTTACTTGACTGGGGCTTTACCACTGAATAAATGTTTGACACTTCCTCATTGAACCAAGGCCACGGTTAGGGTGTGTGCACATTCCCACATGGCCATCCTTTCCTTTTATCACAGCGCACTTGAGTTTGAGCTGTCACTAATCAGTTTACATTTTGTCGTCCCCTTCACAGTTCTACACACAACGTTAGCTCTGCATAAAATGATCAATATTTGTAAGAATAAAAATGAATCAATGTAATAATTGTACCCCAGTCCTCGTTGGTTAAAAGATTATCGGCACAGAATTTGGAGTCCAGGTCACTCAAGAGGAGTTCTGTTCCCATGGCGGCACGTGATGATTTTTCTGGCTTCGGGTGCCTGTTGGGAAAGAAGAATAATAAAAATTTTTTAAAAGTGTCAGCTTTAGAGAGCAGGCTTGCCAGATCAATCATTCCTTAAATAATGTACAAACATTTTACTGATATATCTCCATGTATTAGTCAATAAAGATGTTATATAGAAAAATGATAATAAATGAGGATAAGGGTTTATGGTCATAAAGGGGTTACAGAGTTAGCTGGGGGTGAATCATGACTAAGGAGGTAGATTGCAAGCTCTTGGGGTTACAGTATCCACAGCCAGGTAAGCCCTGCTACACAGACATGACGTCACACGCCTCATACAGCGCACATTCCATGGCGCAGTTGCTAGGCAACAGTCTCATTACCTAGCTGGAATCCAGGGATGCAGGGGGCCTTGGCCTGGCCGGGTGACGTCACAGCCCCGAGGGATGCTGGGAGCCCTGAGCGTAATATTCGGGATACCGTGGGACTGTCACGTTTAGGCCCAGAGCCTCAGGTGACATCACCGACTGCGCAGACCTCGGGCTCACCGATAGCAGGAAGCGCTAGCAAGCCCTGTCCGAGAGGGCGGGGCCCAGCGGCAAGACCCGGCCAATCACGAGTCGCTGCTTGATGCATTCAGCCAATCGGAGAAGGAGGAGAGATTACACCGTCTCCCGATTGGATAGAAAGCGCGCGATTACATTGGCTGACGGGTACGATGGACAGGTCCGCAGAGTGCGTAAGCCAATGGGAGCAGAGCGAAGCCTCGCTGACTGAGAACTGATTGGTAAGCGTTCAGAGACCGTAAAGAGGAGTCATCGTTTGACAGGTCTCCCAGCGTGCTTTGCGGAGCCGACACTTCCGCTTAAAGTAAACAAAGAGGCTCTCGGGAAATGTAGTTCTTTACTCCTACACTATACAAAATAGAAATAGGGGGAAGAATTTTTCATTTTTTCCCCCAATTTTTTTTTTTTTTGCCTAAAATCTTATTTTCCCCACCTACCTCATATTACCAGCAATGGCAGAAATACGTCTAGGAATGCAAATAGAGATACAAGTATCATTACAGAGAGATCCTGAACCATTTACTAATCAGATTTTAATAGCAATCACTGAATCCAAATCTGATCAATAAAAACATATACTGTACTATAGTGGTCCTTTAAGACAGCTATTTGACATTTCATTAAAACATTTTATCAGCAATCTCCGTCAAAATAGTCGGTTATATTTAATGTTTTTGAGTTATCACAAATTGTAATTTTTTTGGGGGATCACTACCGTGAAATATGGGAACATACAGGGGAGACCTCGGTTTGCGAATTTAATGCGTTCTCTGGGATGTTTCTTATTGCGAAAAATTTGTAAACCGAAACGCGTTTTCCCATAGGAATGCATTGAAAACAAATTAATCTGTTCTGGAGGTCAGAAAAAAAGTCGAAATGAGCTGGCATGGAAACCAACCCACAATGCAGAACACACAGTAAAAGGCATGCAAACGATAAAGCTCAGCTCCCTACCTTTCCACAGCTTGAGAAATGCACCAAAAAAGTCCCCAAACCACTGCAAAATATTTCCCGAATGGCTCCAAAACTCGATACAAAAGCCGCTCCATCACCTCCACACTCGATGCCACGTACTACCCACAGGCTCCAGCATGCACGGGGGCGGCGCTATAAACCTCCCAGACGCAATGCATCTCGGGGAAACTTACTTTGTATTGCGAAAAAAATTCATAAACCGAGGCATTATTTTCAATGGATTTTCATTTGTAAACAGAAAATTATGTTAACCAAGGCATTTGTAAACCGAGGTACCACTGGATTTTATTACAGGCCTGAGTACAGAAATACCCCCCTCCCCATGTAGACCTTAGCAGATTTGTGACAAATAATAGGGTCAAATTTCAGAAATGCCAATTTCAGTTTTCAGATTTCCAACTGTATTTTAACCCTATCTAACATACCTATTACAAAAGACTACTTGAGCAATATAATGCAGGACATTATTGGCTGTTTCATCGCCAATTGTCTAACTACTTCAAAGACCACAAACTATAGCAATATCCCACACGTATTTCTCTGCTGGGTTTTTGGATAACATAACGTATCAAACATTACACATGTCCTGATTTTGACATGTCTCTTTACTCAGTGATGCTGTTTGAAACTCTCTTCTCTCCAAAGACGATTTCCTTGCTAAATTGTTGTCACTTCACTAGCTACGGAATCAGATTGGTCCCAATTCAATTTAAGGTGTAAAGCAATAAACATAACATTTCGTTGGTAATATATTCATGCTGCAAATGTGTTGGTAATAATGTTATTTGTTCATGATTCTTGGCTTGGTTGACACTCTGAACCTTTGTTCTTTGTACACTTCGATCTTTTTACTCGATTCTGTAAATTAAGGTTGTCAATAAAATTATTTTTAAAAAAGTGATGCTGTTTGGTAAAGATGTCAATTAACCAAATGGAAACTGCGCATAATAATGACAAAACCACACATGGTGCTCCACTGAGGGGGAGAGGGACACTCCCAATAATCAATACCTCCAAAGGGAGCCAGGCACACACGTCACAGTGTACACAGCTTTTAATGGAACAAAGTTACAGAATGTTTTCACTCCATCACAGAGTCTTTTCCAAGTTACAGTTTCTGCAGAAAACACACGTGCATTTATAGAGTTAAAAGAATTACTTAAAGCGTCGCAATCAGCCTAAAGATCACCCCAGGTCTCTCTGTAGCAGTTTCCTAAGGAGACATCCAGAATTATCCCAATCACAATGATAATTGTGACACAGCCTTCTAAATACACTTTTGACTGCCATCGCAAAGTCTGTGTCATTGGCCACCATGTGTATAACTGACCGTGGCCCACTGTGCATTATTAGACATAAGTATGCTAATGTTAATTATATTACAACTGAAGAATTGCTTTCTGAGCAATTTGTAAGTTAACTTTAGTTACTGTGAATTCTGGTCTCCAAGTTGGTGTGTCAGCCACTCTTCTGGTGGGACATCATATGAAGCACACAGTCTATACATGTCAGAGTGCTCCTAATTTGCACCATAAACATGGCTGTAGAGAGTCTGTGGTTAGTTTTACAATATTAAGGAAAAGTCGAAGTGCCCTGGAATATCGCCTCTCTGCCCCTTCTATGTTCCCCTCCCTGTATGCCACCCCCCCTCTTTCCCTGTCTCTCATTGCCCTCCTGAGTTTCTCATCAGTTTGCCATCGCAAAGTCTGTGTCATTGGCCACCATGTGTATAACTGACCGTGGCCCACTGTGCATTATTAGACATAAGTATGCTAATGTTAATTATATTACAACTGAAGAATTGCTTTCTGAGCAATTTGTAAGTTAACTTTAGTTACTGTGAATTCTGGTCTCCAAGTTGGTGTGTCAGCCACTCTTCTGGTGGGACATCATATGAAGCACACAGTCTATACATGTCAGAGTGCTCCTAATTTGCACCATAAACATGGCTGTAGAGAGTCTGTGGTTAGTTTTACAATATTAAGGAAAGGTCTCGCATCCAATGAGTTAACATAGCTGATTCATTTAGGTGAATAGCCTCTGGAGGTATCTCTGGATACAGACTCATACTTACTATGGCAAAGCAGTAAGATAAGATTTGAATGGGTTTTCTTACCAGATTGGAAGAGATAGATGTTCTAAGTATAGGATAGATAATATCACGATTATACAAACAGGCATCTATGTTGATGTGAAAGGTTACTAGGGTGATAAAAAAAAAAAAAAAAAACAGCAAAAGACTTAGCACTTAATAAATTATCCTAATGCGTTTTTGAAGATTTCACTGTAGGTGTTAATACAGGTTAATTAGAGCTTGACCGCTGTGGGTGGGTCAGGGTGATCTAATTTGCTGCACAGTATAGAGGCTGCATAAGGTGTTTCAGTCTCAGTTCTAGAGGCAAAGCAGCCACCAGAACCATGAGAGGAAAAATGCACCTCACCGTGGCCAGAAAAGCACTAAATAACGTGACAGTCAAGAGCCAGAATCAGTGCTTTCACTGACATCCAGCTCTAAACCTACACATTACACTGTTGGAGTAAAGCAGACTTGTGTTTGTGGGTTATAACCACCTATACCAGGGGTAGGACACTTTCGGCACTCCAGATGTTGTGGACTACATGTCCCCTGATGCTTTGCAAGTATTCTGGCTGTAAGGGCATGAAGGGAGATGTAGTCCATAACATTTGGAGTGCCAGAAGTTGCCTACCCCTGACCTATACCAATGTAAATATTACTGTGGAAGTCAAATTATGTTTCCATTTGCTAACTAGCCATATACCATGCTTTCTATAGAGATTTCACAGGAATTACAATATTTATTGACAAATGTTACAATAAACTGTACAATGTCACATTCATGACAATAAACAAATGAATTAATGTCACACAGATCGGGGAATCAGTTAACTAGATCACCCTCAAGCAAAGGCAAGAGCTGGAGGAACAGGAATATTGTTTTTAAAGGAACATCTTCCCTAAAGCTTTGCTTATCTGCCCTTGTTCTTGCTTGTCCCTTTCCCGTACCCTCACCAGCTCCCTCCGTGCCTCCTTGTTCCCCGGCTCCAGCTTTAACACCGCCTCAAAATCCCCTCTTGCCCCTTTCCAGTCTGCCATGCCAGCTCTAGCCATCCCTCTTCGGTACAGTGCCTTGACATGTCCTGGCTCCTTCTCCAGTGCCCACGTACATCTCTTCTCAGCTTCACACAGCCGTCCCCTCTTGAGGTCACAAGCAGCCATGTTGACTAGAAGAGTTACCTTGTCATTTTCTGCCTCTCCAGGTGTACACACTAAAAGTCGAAGTGCCCTGGAATATCGCCTCTCTGCCCCTTCTATGTTCCCCTCCCTGTATGCCACCCCCCCTCTTTCCCTGTCTCTCATTGCCCTCCTGAGTTTCTCATCAGTTTCCAGCTCCCAAGTCTCTTTTCCATTTTCAAAATTTGCCATCCGCAAGTGGAAGCTAAAACCCGATGTGCTGTTCACTTGGCAAGCCTCTCCAGAGAGCATGGTTTCAAGGCACTGGTCAACAAGACGATCTTGAAATGTATCCCCTTCCCCTAATTCAACCTGAAACCAGGACCCTGCAGGATACCCCAGACTTAAAGGGGAACCTAACTGCTCTGGAGGGGAGGAAACTGAATCCAGAAATATCATGCACCGGGAACATTCTTTGGGTTTGTCCACTCCAGATCCTTGCTCTAGAACAGTCTTGGTGAAGCTTCCATCAGGACAGTGCCAGGATAGCAATTTGCCTTGACAGGAAGAATCAAGAACCTCCATTGCTACTCAGGAACCCGCCAGAAAATACTGATATAAAGTTCATGCATAAGGTCTGCAAAAAAAGAAACACTAAATCAGCATTACATTATTATATTATAATAAGCAACAACTTCAAAAAGTGAGTGAGACCAAAAGCAGCTTGGCTAGAGTTCATTGCAAGATACCAATGAAGATGGTCAAGGGCACAGTGCAATCGGAGTGAAGAATCAAGTTCAAAGTCCAGCTTTGGCTCACTGGAACACAGATTTTGTTAACGGCCTCACTGAAAGTGCTTCTTGGACCAGGATGTGCTTGGGTTAGAGTCAGAACATCTCTCTGCGAACTGAGCATTGCAAATGGTCACTTAGGGTTACCGGTCTCTACATGCTGTAGAATTTCACAGCAACTTGGGGCAGATAATTTGTCGGAGAAAACAAGGAAAAGGGTTTTTAACTGGAGAGGTCAGGCCTGATATACAACTCTGGAACAATAGTCTTGTGAAGAAATCCCCTCCGACAGCATTTAACAAATCTAATGCCTGTTAATCCTATGGAGGAACGAATCGATTCATAAAGTAACCCCAAACAAATCCATTCGTTCCCCCATAGATTAACTGCTATTTGATTAGTTCAACGCTGCTGAAAGGCATTTGTGCACAGGTCGACGCAACAGCATTTTGTCCACCAGTAGCTTCCCGAATAGGATTTATATTAAATTTGAGGGGACTGATGCCTGTTGTGTATGCTACAAGTGGCTCAATTCAATGAGAGTATAATCTGAATTCTGTCCTGACAGCTGTGACCTTTTTTTACAGTGAATATTTCCTTATCCATCCTGCAGCAGTGATGGCTAACCTCTGGCACTCCACTCCTTACTGCACCACATTTCCCATGATGCTTTGCTACCTAACAAGCCAGTTATTTTATAAAAGGGAAATGAAGACTTGGAGAATGATTAGAGGACCCTTCCTGCATGCACACTTACCTTGCTCCTACCTCACATACACAAACATTAACATTACTGCAGATTGAGAGACAGGCAGTGCGGTAACATGCCATATCACTCACCTTACACCCACTTACATACAGACAGAGAAACCAGGAAGAGCCAGCATGGATCTCCCAGAATGCCCCGCACCCCGCCCACATGTACTGCAGCCCTTTAAATGTGAGTCCTGCTTGTGTAATAGGGAGTGGTGATCAGAGGAGCTCAGTGACAAAGACCCAGCTACCAGCCATCAAATACTGCATCAGGAGCAGAGAAAGATTGGGAGAGGATGGTGTGATTAATAATCAGTGGTAAGCAGTCTATTATTATTATTATTAATGTCAATGTGCTATTAGCCAGTGGTATGAGGTTTATTAATAATGGCAATGTGCTATTAGCCAGTGGTATGAGGTTTATTAATAATGGCACTGTATTACATGGGGTACCTGCCTGTGGTACTATGGGAAGGAAGAAGAGGCTGTATTGAGGCACAAACTGGGAAATTATAGAAAATGTTAACCTATTTTATTGTACATTAATGTTAAATGACACTAACAGGCTGATACAAGTTCTGGTAAACACTAAAACCACCGGTTGCTGTGATCTGTTATTGAATAATTGTACAGCGCTGCTGAATATGTTGGCGTTATATTAATAAATGCTGCAGTGCTCTGTACTGTCTCTGCTACAGCGCTGGATATCTTGTTACATGGATTAGTGGTTGGGGGCTGCTCTTCCTTTCTCCCCCCCCCTTTTTTTTTTTTTTAAAGTAGTATTTCTGGGAATTTACAGAGCTTACAACATACGTTACACAAGTTGTAGTGGGTTTTTTTTTTGTTTGTTTGTTTTTTTTCGTATAAGGTGATCTGTATAGTTAATATAAATATATAACCACTGCTAGAGGAGGGTATGGCTTTAGACATTATACATTCTTCTACCTGATGGTTGGACTGCTCTGTAGAATTTTATTTATACAATATTTTACCAGTAAAGATGCATTGAGATTTATCTAGTTTTTAAATAAGTCCTGGGCATCCTTGTATCATATTGGCTTCATTAGTATAAAATAAACTTCTTCTGATGACCTAATCAATGTTTGTATATTTGCTATAATTTTTTATTTTATTTATTTTTTCCCTCTACATCTGTAGCATAATATATCTAATAACCCATTGGCCTGTTGGGGGTTAAACGAATAGGTTGGTTCTTGGACTGGTTATGAGGAATCTGAATGGACATGTTTAACTATTCCCTTTTTATTCTCCAGCCTGCCGCTATGTGGCCAGGAAAATAGCTGCTGCTGGGCGTGAAGATGATGGTGAGAAGAAAGATGGAGGTTGTGGAGCCTCCAATGGCTCCATGAAGTCTTCTTGTGCTCTTCGTACAGGTAGCTGATGCCCAGTCTGTGTATGTTATCATAGCAGCCACATTCCCCTCTCTGCTATGTAGGCTGTAGTAATAAAAGGCACAGTATCACTGTAAAACACTCCAGGCGTGACATGTGACGGGCTGCGTGCAAACATTATCCATGTTTATTATTTTATTTTGGATGATGGCTGAGGCTCCAACTGCCTCAGGAATAAAAACCTTTTATTGTAGGTTAAAGACACAGGAGAGATTTCTGCATTTCCCCCTCCCCTCATTATGGCACCTTTTTTGTAAATGACTCTCACATAATCCAAAGGGGGAAACAAATGCTATAGCTCTTGCAGATCTGAAGAGGGCACTGCGGAGTGAATTGCATGTTGTCGAACACCCACAGATTCTAAAACATCCTGGTTACAATGTGACCATGACACTGACTACACAGCATGAAAAGTCACTGAGTGTGCTTATTCAGTAAAATGGGAATTGTAGTAAATCTTAGAAAGCCAGAGCTCGAAATTTACTATTTTTACTTTGTACTACCCGACTTGTTTTTATTTCACAGTATCTTCTCACTGTTTAGTAAATTAGACTGGATGTGTCAGCCAGTTCACACTTGGAATATAATCTTATGTAAGTGTGTTTTGAGCAGGGCTGCCATACTCTCCTGGGATGGAGTTTGATTTATTATGTAGTTGATCAATGATGGCAAAACCTATGGGAATAGTAGTTTAAAAACCTAAATCTTCACCTAGGATAGAAATGACCAAAACCGTCAGACCACTTTAATTAATTAGTGCCGTTGTGGATATAAAGTTTCTGTGTAGACTATAAATCATGGAGGGGAAGGGATATCCTATCCTTGTTTGCTTCAGAGGATCTGACCTATTTCTTAGCACCCCAGGTGCGCAGTAACTCTACAGGAGGGTAGCCGGTTTATTAATGAACTCTAGATGGGCCGTAGCGGAGTGTATAGTGTAATGTAGACTGTTAATCACACCGGGACCTGACTGTATGCAGATGGCTAGTGTCGCTGACAGTGACTTGAACATCAAAATGTAGGCCAAAATTATTATTTTTAGTCTGTGGGGGAGGCTTTTAGTGTCAGCCATGGAATTTATGGTCAAACGTGGGGTGTATTCACTTAATGGTGAACTGAAAAATCAAATGCATAAACTACCTGGTATAAATAAATCCTGCCTTAACTGTAGCCCGGGTGCTTTATATTGAATTTTGCAGTTTAGTTTTCAATTCACACTTTAGTGAATAGATACCTGTATTTTGTTTGCTTTTTTTAATAAATGGATCCTGTTTTCGATTTACTACAAATGTGTTAACCTCTCCATGATGTTTAGAACCAGCCAGGACTCAACGGAATTTTTTGTTTTGTTTAATGTTGCTGTTATTAGGTGGGAAAAGGAAAGATGCTGCTGTGCGACCTCCGCCCTCGGGCCCTTCCACTCCCCTGACTTCTCAGCCTACTGAAGGTTCGCCACCTACCTCAGCTCTGCAACCATGTGAGCCTTCGCCTTACTGAATAGGAAAGTGCCCCATAGCAGGAGAATGACCCTCCTCTCAGCAGTCTCTGGATTGAGAGGGGGCGAGGAATATACCTGCTGTGCTCTTAATAAACTTCTAAACCATTATCTGTGTCTGTCTAATTACGGCCTCATGTTAATTCTAAAATTATATAGGTTTTTTTTTTTGTTTTTTTTATATATTGTAGAGGAACAAGCTTAAAGGTGCAGTTCTGGTTGGTTACACCACCCATTATTTGAAATCTATTACTAAGGTCCAATATAAATTGCCATTTCCTTTTTTTTTGTATATCTATCCGCGCCATTAAGGATTTCTGCTTCCTCCAGGAATCTTTTCTGCAACAAGGAGAGGACTCACATTTCTTGCCTGATCCTGGTTCTCCTACTAAGCTTTTTTTTGACAGGTGTGTGTGATGGAATTCCTGTACGTGCGCCGTAATTTTGTCCTAGAAACCAAGGGCTTCCAATCAGAATCAATAATACCATTCCTCTCTATTTTTTTGGGGGGGGGGGAATTAAAGCTCCTGGTGAATCCTAGATTGGTGTAGGTAAAAGTAATTATTATTATTTTTTTTTTTTTTAAATATAAATTATATATATATAGCTGAAAAGAGACTTGCGTCCATCAAGTTCAGCCTTCCTCACAAATGTTGTTGCTGTTGATCCAAAAGAAGGCAAAAAACCTGGTCTGAAGCGCTTCCAATTTTGCCACAAACTAGGAAAAAATTCCTTCTTGACCCCAAAATAGCAGTCAGATGTCTCCTTGGATCAATCAGCTATTACCCACTAATTAGAAATTATATCCCTGTATGTTATGTTTTTGTAAGTATTTATCCAATTTTAGTTTAAACATCTGTATGGACTCTGACAAAACCACCTCTTCAGGCAGAGAATTCCATATCCTTATTGTTCTTACTGTAAAAAAACCTTTTCTTTGCCTTAGATGAAATCTCCTTTCTTCCAGCCTAAATGTGTGACCTCGTGTCCTATGTATAGCCCTGTTTATGAATAGATTTTCAGATAAAGGTTTGTACTGGCCCCGAATATATTTGTATAAAGTTATCATATCCCCTCTCAGGTGCCGTTTTTCCAAACTAAACAGATTTAATTTTTTTTAACCTTTCTTCATAACTAAAATGCTCCATTCCTTTTATCAATTTTGTAGCTCGTCTCTGGACCCTCTCCAGTGCCATGATATCCTTCTTTAGAACAGGCGCCCAAAATTGCACAGCATATTCAAGGTGTGGTCTTATCAGCGATTTATAAAGAGGCAGAATTATATTTTCATCCCGAGAATTTATGCCCCTATTTATACATGACAAAATCTTACTGGCCTTAGCAACTCCTGATTGACATTGCATATTGAGCCTAATTTGTTGTCTATAACAATTCCCAAATCCTTCTCGTGTGTGGTTATCCCTAATTCACTACCATTTAGTGTGTAAGTTGCTTGTGCATTCTTAACCCCGAAGTGCATAACTTTGCATTTCTCTATGTTAAATTTATCTGCCATTTTAGTGCCCAGTCCCCAATCTATCCAAATCTCTCTGCAGCAAAGCAATATCCTGCTCACATTTTATTACTTTACAAAGTTTTGTGTCATCTGCAAACACTGATACATGGCTTTCAATGCCTATTTCAAGATCATTTATAAATATGTTAAATAGAAGCGGTCCCAAAACAGAACCCTGAGGGACACCACTTTCCACTTTTGTCCAGCCTGAAAATGTACCATTAATGACAACTCGTTGTACTCTATCCTTAAGCCAATGTTCTACCCAAGAACAAGAATATTCATCTAGGCCAACTTCTTTTAGTTTGAAGATTAATCTATTGTGAGGAACCGTATCAAATGCCTTGGCAAAATTCAAGTAGATCACATCCACTGCAACACCCTGATCTATACTTCTACTTACTTCTTCGTAGAATGCAATTAGGTTAGTTTGACATGACCTATGTTTTATAAAACCATGCTGATTATTGCTAATAACAAAGTTCTTCCCAATGAATTCCTGAATATTATCCCTTAATAGCCCTTCAAATATTTTCCCAGTTACAGAAGTTAAGCTCACAGGTCTATAATTTCCAGGCAAGGATTTTGAACCCTTTTTAAATATAGAACAACATCTGCCTTCCTCCAATCCTCCGGTACAACACCTGAAACAAAAGAATCTTGAAAAATTAAATACAGAGGTTCACTTATTTCCCCATATATATATATATATATATATATATATATATATTTATTTAATATATAATGCAATTGAAGTTCGGGGGAGGGAGTTGCTAGAGTAACCTTATGGTTGATGATGGTTTAATAGGCCAGATGTGAAAATAACAAAATAAAATATCCTCCATACCATGCAAAAAAAGGCACAACACCTAAACTTCAAATTTAAAAAGAAACAAAATTGTTGTGAAGGGAACTGAACCAGATGAGATCCAAATCTTTCTGCAGTGTTCTGACCCAGTTCCTGTGACAGAGGGCGGCATTGTATAGTCTCCCCCAGAGAGCTATGTCAGCCTTGTGTTTAGTTTAGCTATCTTTAATGCTTTTGTGCTCTCGTAGCTAATTTTCATATTTATTTCAGTTAATACTCGCGGCTCTGATTTTTTTTTGAGAATATTTTATAAAGTAATGCAGATCACTGTGACAATATTTCTAAGTGAGAATAAAAAAAAGTCACAATTATTAAAATATAAGAAGGGGTAACAAGGACTTCGTACGTGCTTGTGCTCTCATTCATGCTAGAACTAGAATGATCCAAGGCTGCGCATGAACCAGGATCTGTAGTATGTGGTCTGCTGCCATTACCATAGAACACTGGTGGTTCACCTAAAGTCTAGCTGAGTATTATGGGAAATGCAGTAAATCAACATCTGCTGTTTTATCAACAGCCAGCTACTATATGATGTTGGGGGAGGTGCTGGTTAAATACTAAATTGATCATTTAAACCAATATGCGCTGGAAGCAGATAGATTTTGCCTTGAATTCAGTAGGAATGGTCCAGGTTTATGGGGGAGGTAATGGCTCACTCTGTTTTATTTGACAAACCGCAATTACTTTTCCTGCTGGTGATAAATGTTCTTTAATAAGGTGACAGGGCATCCTGCAGGGTTCGGTGTCGGTGTAGAGAATAACACAAAGGATTGTGTACTTTGGGCTATGTGGTAACCATGGAGACTATAATGGCTTTAAAATGAGTTCAGTTGCAGGAGGAAAAAAGATTCAGAGGGACAAGCACATTCTAAAAGCCAACTACCATTTAAAGGGACACAAGGCATCATAAGCAGTATAGCTTGTGGCAGTGGTTATGGTGCTAATAAATTAAATCCCTCTGGATTTTGTCGAACAGACTTACATCCCGTACTGGGCTATTGCAAGATTCAAACACAAAATGGAGGCCTGTACTCAAACTCCCACTACTGGACGCTAGCAATGACTATAGTACTCATCATCCACAATACATAGAATAAAAACAAAAAAAGGATTTGCAGGGTAGACTCAATACATCTATTTCTGTTGTGTAAAATCACAATTAACCCTTTTTGTGTACGCTGATCAGTGAATCCGGTTATTTCCGGTGATCACAGCAGAACATTACATCATGTGAGCAAACATTGCCTATTTACACGGCAATAAGGAAGTGAATCCTCATTGTGATGATGAAGGCACAGGGGAAGAGAAGTGAGAGCTTGCAAGTTGTTAGTACTTTCGCAATTAGTACAATTATTTTACCATTTTCGCTGACGATAAAAATATATGATAATGTTTTCTATAAATGTTTTTTTTTACATAAAGAGACGTGACAACAAATATTTCAATAAATTTCTGTTTTATTATAGATAATGCAGCTAAATTATCATTCCAAACGCTAATGAATAAATACCCACAATGCATCCTTCCAACCAATAAATAAATAAGTTGTTAATCAGGAGAATATTACTTAGAACAATAAATAATTTGTATATCACAGAGATAAGAACCCCCACCCCTCCCACCCAATATAACACTGTGCTTAAATATAGAAGCTTCGTCTTTAACACACAGTCTCAAGTCACGTATATATGAACGGTCTCCCAAGTTCTGTTTATTGCGCCCACCAGCCATCTTTCTGTATTGCACCCCAGCACGCTATAGAAGTTATTTATGAAGAATAACCAGACAGCGAAATTCAGGATGGAGCAGTTTCCATGGAAACCACCGAAATGTTCCTGCAGGTTGCTCCATGTTTTCCCCAGAAACTTTATAAATATCTCCAGATGACTGTCCAACTTTTCATCTAGTTATTTTAGATAGTTCCCTATCACAATAATTTCCTTTTTTTAGTCCTAACTCCCTCAGTTTTACCCTTAGATATTTTGGCTATCAGCACATATAGTAGAAGCAAGGGAAAGTGTTAATTAAAATCCTACCAGTCAACATGAAATATTACTCAGCGTTGTAACATTCATAGTTACCCTCTCAGAAAATGATCACGTTCTCGATCACACTGTAGACAGGACCTCACGCAATACAACATTAAATAAAATTCATTAGTGAATGGTGGGAGTGTAATTAACAATTAATGCAGCAGGAGACTTTCTCAGACATTTACCAGGGGTTACAGCAACCCTTGTATATCACGCTATGACAATAGCCCCGCTATCGCCTTTATCTTTTGCATTGTTTCTGAATAATCTACCTGTACGAAACTATGAGAAAGAACACTCAAAACATCCCAAATCGTTGCTTTCCTCTTGTTGTTTAATATCAAGGGTTGAGACGTCTAACCGCTTGACTAGAGGACTTTGTGAAATATTGGAGAGTGTTTTGATCACTTGATAAAATCAGTCCTCTCTCTATCTAATAATTTCTGTATGGCTGTCTAACACACTATTTCCTTCAAATTGTGAATCTCACACACGTACAATGATTATTACTTCTAAAAATATCTTTTGTTTTTTCTCACTCACTCATAGCTCACTATCCTTCCCATCCTCTTTCATTAATCAGCATTCTCACAGTCCGCCTAACGCATTCTTTGTCTGATTTCTCAAAATCTGTACCATTTTGTGGCTTCTCCCCAAACCCACATATATCATGGCCCATTTTTTTGGCACTCGGTCTCATTAAAACAAAGATGAAAGATACTCCCATAATACTCTCACAGCCCCAATAATACTTCTATAATAATCATCTAGTGTCCCTGTAATACCCCAAGGTGGCACCTGTATTACTTGTTATACCAAGGAGAAGTCATGGGCTGAAGGGTAAATGTGCAGGTAGGGAGCAAGTGGAAGATACAAAAGAATAGGTGCAAAGTTAGAAGAATAGACAAGGTATAAGGGGAAAGAAAGTTTAATGTAAGGAAAATAATTAATGGGAGATAGAAAATATATAAAATGATAGAACCGGTTGGGAAAGAAAATAATAAAATATCTAGAGTGAAAAGAGATGCAATGAAGAAAAGACGAGAGAGAGATGTGAAAGGAGAGGTAAAGAAATTGAAATGGGGGGGAAAATATGAAATGGAAAGAGAGTGAGAGAATTAGGAATATTTGGAGGTCTTGGCACATCTTTCCGCTCTCCTTTTGCCACGATGGATAACTCATGGCCCCCACTCATTGTCATGGTGCTGAGCAGCGATGATGATGACCACGGTGAGAATAGTACACAAGACCATGGCAGCAATTCCCACTGCCAAACTGATGAAGGAGAAGTTCCGAGCTTCTCGAGAAGCTATCTCTGCTGACATAATGTCACCGCGAGCCAGAGCCGTCCTGACCTGTAAGGAAATCACATAGACAAGAGCTTCAAGTCTGTCCCACAGGTGACATGGTAACAATGACATGGTAACAGAGAGACATAATAACAGAAACATGGTGACAATGACATGGTAACAGAGAGACATAGTAACACTGACATGGTAACAGAGACGTAGTAACACTGACATGGATACAGTGACATAGTGTCACGGTTCCCAACGTAACTTCCGGAGGTTGCCCCAGGAGTGCCCAGAAGCGGATTTGAACCTGGGTACTTTGGAGTGCCCAGTAGCGGATTTGAACCTGGGTACTATTACTCCTGGTACGCCTGATATTGATGTCTCGTTAGCCAGGTATATAACACTGCTTCTACCAGAAGGCAGTGTCAGTTCCTTGACTCTGGAGATCATACTGCTGTTTCGTGTTCTCCAGTTTACTCTTGACCTTGGCTTGTTGTTTCGTTTATTCTGATTTCTGGCATCCTCTGACCTCTGGCTTACCCACAACGATTCTCCTGCTTTATCCGTTCCTGTACTGCGACTTGGAGAATTATCCTGCACAGCCCCCGTGCACCGACTCACAGGCCAGGTGAATTCTTACCTGACCACCTCGGCCTGTATTTACTTGCAAGGGTAAGCACATATCTCTGGCTGACGGACTCCCAACTCAGGTAAGCCGTGACATAAGGAACTGACCATATGGAGTCCGCAGAGATGTGCTCACTCCTGTCCCAGGAAGTGTCCAGCCTGGCCCAGATTGTTTCGGAGCTGCAGCGAGAAATTTTATTTCTTAAAGGCACAGTACGCCCAGCCCAGGATCCTGCTTATCCAGAACCCTATGTCATACTGCCTGACAGGTTCGACGGTTCCCGTTCCACTTTCTCGATCTTCAAGATGGACTGTGAACTCTTGTTTCCTTGAAACCCAGAACCTACGTCACTGACTTTATCAAGGTCCGTTCTGCTATCAGTTGTACTTTCTGGATGGATTAAGGCCTGGGCATACCAGAAGCTGCAAGAGAATAATACTCCTGGGATCAAGGTACTTGCCGCTTGCACCAAATCCATTGCCAACCTTAACCTCTCTCCAGTAGTACCTGAAAATGCAAATTTGCATGACTTTGAAAGGGCACTTCTAGCCATCAAGACCACTCAAGCTATGTCCTTCGCTCCTGCTGGCAACGCCAGGACCAAGAAATCTAAAAAGTGACCTCTTGGGCTGTAGTTGCTTTTTATCGTTTCACCTAACAGCAGCTTTGAGGAGGGGGTACTGTCATGGTTCCCACTGTAACTTCAGGAATGCCAAATAAGGTTGCCCCAGGAATGCCCAGTAGCAGATTTGAACCTGGGTACTTTGCCATCCTGGGGCTGCTATGTTACCTCTGAGCCACCATTTAGCTTCAGTATGTTAGTATCTAGCCCTGTCATGTATCCAGCACTGGGGGCTGAACAAGTATTGGTATTACTCCTATTACTCCTGGTACACCTGATATTGATGTCTCGTTAGCCAGGTAAATAACACTGCCTTGACACATAGTAAGAGAGTGACATGGTAACAGTGACATGGTAACAGAGAGACATAGTAACACTGACATGGATACAGTGACATAGTAAGAGAGTGACATGGTAACAGTGACATGGTAACAGAGAGACGTAGTAACACTGACATGGATACAGTGACATAGTAAGAGAGTGACATGGTAACAGTGACATGGTAACAGAGAGACATAGTAACACTGACATGGATACAGTGACATAGTAAGAGAGTGACATGGTAACAGTGACATGGTAACAGAGAGACATAGTAACACTGACATGGATACAGTGACATAGTAAGACAGTGACATGGTAACAGTGACATGGTAACAGAGAGACATAGTAACACTGACATGGATACAGTGACATAGTAAGAGAGTGACATGGTAACAGTGACATGGTAACAGAGAGACATAGTAACACTGACATGGATACAGTGACATAGTAAGACAGTGACATGATAACAAAGACAGGATCTTTGGTTCTGTCCATTGCTTTCAAAGCAGACACTGGGGGTTCAGTAAGTAAAATCAGTTCTGGGATTAAGTTCTAAAACAGGGCTCTCTTGGTACTGTCATTCAGGCCATTTCTGGACCCCCAAATAGTTTAATGCATCCCACTGCACCCATCCTGGGTGCAAATGTGAATAAATAAAAACTGTATATTTACCTCACAGGAAGTGGTGTATAACCACAATTCTCATATATAAAGACTAGATTAACGTATATAGTGTAGTATTTTAATTTAAACCAATTTAAAAACATATGTATATACACACACTGACAAGTAAAAAGCACAATCAAATTGTGTAAAACACATCGGTGTCCCAAGGGCTGAAAAACTCCGGATATCTCCCCAAGGAAGCTCTACTCCTGGCCTGTGTAACCCTTATATATTTCTTTACTTCTAGTCTTTATATGACTGTGAGGTAAATATACCCTGTTTTTTCTTTATTCATATTTATTGGTGAAAAAAATATTTAATACAGTGCCAATCATGTCCCACTAGCACCGCGCAAAGGGGCAGTCACACCTGGAAAGGGGACAGGTCTGCCCGAAGAATTGGAAGGTCAGTCAGAGTGAATGCATTTTTAATCAATGGGACTGGAGCTTCAGCTCCATTAGCCCCTATGTTAATCCAGCCCTGCCCACTCCCATACTAAATCTAACCCCTCCACAACCTAATACATCAGCAGAGAGATTCTCCAAATTAACATCCGTATGCACAGTGCAGAGCACACCGTTAGCACTCTGTGAATGCAGCCCATTTCTCAGTTGACGTCACTGAGCTGCTCGTGAGAGTGCAGCCAGGCTGAATGCCATAGATATACATAGTGCTCAACTGAGGCTTCAAGCAGCCAACTGGTTAGCGTGGAACCAATCATTTTGGCCTTTGCTTATAGGAGGAACATGCAGATTATATCCGGGCTTCGCTGTTACCAGCAGTGAAAGTGTCCCTGCTTCTACTACTGGGAGGAAGGGATAAATGGACAGAACCTAACTGCTTCAGTCCCTGGGACTTTAATGCATATATTGGGGCTGAAGTGGGGGGGGCTAAAGAAGTGGATATAAGTAGCTATGTCCTTTTTGAATGCTATCGCTACTCGTTATACCTAAAAAAAAGTTGCTTTTAACAAACTATGCAGGTCCAAAGAACCTGCACTGAAACTGTAGCTATTAAATGCCATTATTTATAAAACTAAATAAATAAAACAGAAAGACTAATGGATACAATTAAACACACTGGGCTAGATTCTATTATGTCTTTTGTAATTAAATAGCTTTTTTTCCCCATAGAAGTCAAATGGAAAATTGCTCTTCAATTACAATAGCTTATCTCATCTAATCGAATCGTTGTTGGAAAACGACTTTCATCTAATAAACACATTCCAGAGTTCTGGTTGTGCCAGAAGAATAGGGCTCTCCTAAGCTATTATGGCAACAATAGGCTGTGAACCCTGGGTTAACGCACAGCTAGCACTCCCTGCCTAACACATATCCGTGTGCATTTATTTCTGCGTTAGCCGACGCGCAGCAGAGAAGATTTAGGTGCCCAGAGAACCCTGTTTCCATCAAACAGCTCAAACAAAATCTGACATAAACCGCAGGGATAGCAACCCAAGACTCCTTGTACCATAACTATAACAAGCTGCGGATGTTATGGGGCTTAGCATTCCACGTTATATATGATAAAAACACAATTATGGTAAATCTTGTGAAAAACAGACAAAAAAAGAAATATGACTGGAATCCCCATTCATTCCCTACATGTCTGACTTTTTAAAAGCAGGAATTGCTTAGTATGTGCAATCAGACTGATAGATTAATTAGATTTTATAATAAGACAAACACTAACAATACTTACAAAACCAAAAGAAAATGACACATTTATTACAAAAGACGCAACGCTCACTGCAAAGCGCAATGACAATCACATTGCGACTTGTGATTAAATGGAATTAAAAGAAACCCCATGCACCATTACCACTGCAGTATCCTGTTGTGGTTATGGTGTTTGGAGGATTCTTTTGACAAATGGAATGCTAATTATTTTACCAAACTCAGTTCAGAATTGCGAATACCGCCACTGCAGTCCATCTTTGGGTTTTGGAGGAGGTAAACAATGTATTGAATTGTTTCATTTGCTATCTGCTGACACAAGGCATTGATGATATTTATTTATCTACCCAAAGCTGCTTGTCATCGACTTGTTTTTAAAGATAATGGATCCACATGTTTTTGATGATGGTTTAATTTAAATACCAAGAATACCTATAAACATGCCTGCTATCTGTCTATCTGTCTATCACTAAAATGCAACCATAACCACTGTAAATGATCCACAGATCAAACAAAGTTTCTTGGTAAACAATCAGTTAAGAACTGAGTCTCATAGACTCTACATCAAGCATGTCAAACTCAAAGACTAATACGGGCCAAATAAACAAGGTTTAAGTTTACGTGGGCCAAAAAAAAAACAACTTCAGTTTTCATAGAAACTTAGGTGTATTTAGAAAAGTACAGTATAAAAAAAGTTGCCTGACACTGGATGTCCTCGCGCTCGTAGGGCTTCAAAGTAAACAAAAGAGCAAATTTATTTTAACGACTCGCGCATTTGCGTATAACCAATGTTTCAGTCCAACTACCTTGACATATTAAGAAAAGTTTGGTAATGGGACTGAAATGGTGAATGTACACTTAAATTACGTTAACTTATTGATTTTGTGTTCTTCACTTTGGCTGAGATCATCAAACTTGATGATCTCAGCCAATCCCATGGGAGGCTATTGTGCATGTGTGGGAAAAAGCTACGCGGCCAATCAGCATCTCCATGGGGAGTGTTCAGTGCCTCCATGCAGACCCAATCTAATACACTGCCCACAAATCCAATACACTACCCCTTAATCTAATACAATCAATTCCACTCTAATTGAATACACTGCCCTCCCCCCAATTAAATACACTGCCCCCTCCCTCCCCAATTTAAAACACTGCCCCTCCCATCAATCGAATACACTGCCCCACTTCCTCCCCCAAATTAATACACACCCCAATTTAATACACTGGACCCCTCTCTCCCTCAAATTAATACATTGCCCACTCCCTCCCCCAAATTAATACACTGCCACCCTCCCCAATTGAACACACTACACAGGAAGGTTTCCCAAACTCCCCTTCCTCTACCTTATGATGAGCCGTCCACCCTCCAGTTCCGCGTGCCACATGTTTGACATGCTTGCTCTACATTATATGTGTTCAATCTCAGGCTAGAAATGTTACCAATTAACTGATTATCTGAAAATCTTCATTTTCACACAGATAGATGGAGCAACAAGTCTGTCCCTCCCCCTGCAGGGTGACACAGTGACACAGACAGAATGAGTTACAAGTCTGTCCCCTCCCCCTGCAGGGGGACACAGTGACACAGACAGAATGAGCTACAAGTCTTTCCCCTCCCCCTGCAGGGTGACACAGTGACACGGACAGAATAGAGTTACAAGTCTGTCCCCTCCCCCTGCAGGGTGACACAGTGACACGGACAGAATAGAGTTACAAGTCTGTCCCCTCCCCCTGCAGGGTGACACAGTGACACAGACAGAATGAGCTACAAGTCTGTCCCCTCCCCCTGCAGGGTGACACAGTGACACAGACAGAATGAGTTACAAGTCTGTCCCTCCCCCTGCAGGGTGACACAGTGACACAGACAGAATGAGTTACAAGTCTGTCCCCTCCCCCTGCAGGGGGACACAGTGACACAGACAGAATGAGTTACAAGTCTTTCCCCTCCCCCTGCAGGGGGACACAGTGACACAGACAGAATGACCTACAAGTCTTTCCCCTCCCCCTGGAGGGTGACACAGTGACACAGACAGAATAGAGTTACAAGTCTGTCCCCTCCCCCTGCAGGGTGACACAGTGACACAGACAGAATGAGCTACAAGTCTGTCCCCTCCCACTGCATAGTAGATAAGTCCAAGGGGTCATTGAATCAGCTATGTCTCACCTGAACTGCTTTTATAATCGCAAAGACTCCAGTGGGCCAGAAGCAGCAGATGGTGGTGAGAACAGCGATAGGCAGGTAGTCATGAGGGGGACGTCGTGGCTCTAAGAGGGCCAGTCCAGGGGGAATTTGTGGAGGTGGCATTCCAGGCTGAGGTGGTACAGATCCTGCCGGATATTGCTGATTGGGAAGAAAGAAGAAGGAAAGAATGAGGGCTGCTCTCTAATTTCCTACACTCTACTGTCCTAAACTATCCTAGTCTACACTCTACCACCCTAAACTATCCTGTCTACACTCTACTACCCTAATCTATCCAAGTCTACACTCTACTACCCTAAACTATCCTAGTCTACACTCTACCACCCTAAACTATCCTAGTCTACACTCTACTACCCTAAGTCTACACTCTACTACCCTAAACTATCCTAGTCTACACTCTACCACCCTAAACTATCCTGGTCTACACTCTACTACCCTAATCTATCCAAGTCTACACTCTACTACCCTAAACTATCCTAGTCTACACTCTACCCTACCCTAACACTCTATCCAAGTCTACACTCTACTACCCTAAACTATCCTAGTCTACACTCTACCACCCTAAACTATCCTAGTCTACACTCTACTGTCCTAAACTATCCTAGTCTACACTCTGCTGTCCTAAACTATCCCAGTCTACACTCACTGTCCTAAACTATACTAGTCTACACTCTACTACCCTAAACTATACTAGTCTACACTCACTGTCCTAATCTATCCAAGTCTACACTCTACCAACCTAAACTATCCCAGTCTACACTCACTGTCCTAAACTATCCTAGTCTACACTCTACCAGCCTAAACTTTCCTAGTCTACACTCACTGTCCTAAACTATCTTAGTCTACACTCACTATCCTAAACTATCCTAGTCTACACTCATTGTCCTAAACTTTCCTAGTCTACACTCACTGTCCTAAACTATCCTATCCTGCACTCTACTGTCCTAAACTTTCCTAGTCTACACTCACTGTCCTAAATTATCCTAGTCTACACTCTACTACCCTAAACTATCCTAGTCTACACTCATTGACCTAAACTATCCTAGTCTACACTCTACCACCCTAAACTATCCTAGTCTACACTCTGCTGTCCTAAACTATCCCAGTCTACACTCTACTGTCCTAAACTATCCCAGTCTACACTCTACTGCTCTCAGCAGTATACACTATAGTGTTCTACGCTGTTCTGTCTTAAACTAGCCTATCTTATAAGCTATTGTCCTAAACATCTTACAGTCTACTGATCTAAACAATCCCATTCTATGCTTTAAAGGAACACTATAGTCACCTAAATTACTTTAGCTAAATAAAGCAGTTTTAGTGTATAGATTATTCCCCTGCAATTTAACTGCTCAATTCATTGTCATTTAGGAGTTAAATCACTTTGTTTCTGTTTATGCAGCCCTAGCCACACCTCCCCTGGCTATGATTGACAGAGCCTGCATGAAAAAAAAAACTGGTTTCACTTTCAAACAGATGTAATTTACCTTTAAATAATTGTATCTCAATCTCTAAATTGAACTTTAATCACATACAGGAGGCTCTTGCAGGGTCTAGCAAGCTATTAACATAGCAGGGGATAAGAAAATCTTAATTAAACAGAACTTGCAATAAAGAAAGCCTAAAAAGGGCTCTCTTTACAGGAAGTGTTTATGGAAGGCTGTGCAAGTCACATGCAGGGAGGTGTGACTAGGGTTCCTAAACAAAGGGATTTAACTCCTAAATGGCAGAGGATTGAGCAGTGAGGCTGCAGGGGCATGTTCTATACACCAAAACTGCTTCATTTAGCTAAAGTTGTTCAGGTGACTATAGTGTCCCTTTAATGTACTAAGCTATCCTATTCTATCCTTCACTCTCCTAAACTATCCTGACCTACATTCTGCTGTCCTAAACTATCATGTCCTATGCTCTACCATCCTAAACTAAACATATTTATAAAATATTTCAGGATTTTTAAAATAATTCTTTATCACATCTGCTAGGTGACCGCTCTACATCTGCATTCAATTCCCATAACAACCTACCCTTTCTTCCATTTCCAATGCTGACACTTACCGTTCCCACTGGGTAAACGGGTACATACGCTGTGCATGGCTGCAAGTGCATGGGGTAGCCTGCTTGTTGTGGAACATAGCCCCCTCCAGGTAACGTTCCCCCTTGAGTGTGAGTCTGCACCACATAGCCTTGGGGAGTAGGGGGAGGACCTGTAAATTGGGTCTCTTGTAGGTATCCCTTGGGATCCTGGCGGGGGAGTGTGGCACTGGATGGCTGAGGTGGAGGGTCATTATAGCCAGGTATTACTCCATTACATGGTCCATCCCCCGCAGGCTGGTTATAAGGTGGGGGTGAGTTGTGGGGTCCGGAGTCCGGAGGGCCTGGGGAAAGAAAATAGGGTTTTGAAGGTGAGAGAGAGAGACAGAGAGAGAGAGAACAGGAGGGAGGGAGGAGAAAGGACATTGTCATGCTCTGTACCGCACAATGTGCTCCCCGGGGCAAAAACTGGATAAATAACATGAGAACTGACAGAAGACAAGATATATATATATATATAAATACAGAAGCATACATTTACATACATTACTCTCATTAAGATACAGATAGATAGGCAGACAGACAGACCAACTAGATAGATAGATACAAGATAGATAGATACAAGATAGACAGACAGACAGAGAGATAGATAGATATGTCGCATGATATTATACAAGCGGTTCATGAATGCGTGCATGTCTCAGCGGGGGTTCTTTACTGAGCTCTGAATAATGCTACATATTGAAAAATTTGCTATCAAATATAAATCTGTCCAGAGATTGCTATTAGAACATTTTTTGATATCAATATAAATGCTAAGTCAGACATCTCACCCAAACGTACGTATTCGATTCGGAGCAATTTAATTGCCAAATAAATAAACCCCAAACCACCTAAATACAATACAAAGTACAGGAAATGTGAAATGTTTGCCCCAAATTGCTCTGAATTCGTTTTCTTGAATTTACCACAACAAATACAGAGTTTTGTAAATAGTCCCAATATATATTATTGTGAATCCCTTTTATTCTCCTAATAACTAATAAACAGTAAACTTAAAGAAACAATACAAAATATACAAAATATACAAAATATACATAATAATTTAAGGTTAGAGTGTTCCTTGTTTAGAGTACTGGACCCCCACCCCACACACTGCCTGTTGTAAAAAAAAAAAAAAATTGTTTATAAAGCACTGGGGACAGAGAACACATGCGCAGCAATCTCCGAGTTCCACCAATTCAATGCTTCTCATTGAGAGGATCTGAAGTCAGAGAGGACACATGCGCAACAATCTCCGAGTTCCACCAATTCAATGCTTCTCATTGAGAGGATTTGAAGTCAGAGAGGACACATGCGCAGCAATCTCCGAGTTCCACCAATTCAATGCTTCTCATTGAGAGGATCTGAGGTCAGAGAGGACACATGCGCAGCAATCTCCGAGTTCCACCAATTCAATGCTTCTCATTGAGAGGATCTGAGGTCAGAGAGGACACATGCGCAGCAATCTCCGAGTTCCACCAATTCAATGCTTCTCATTGAGAGGATCTGAAGTCAGAGAGGACACATGCGCAGCAATCTCCGAGTTCCACCAATTCAATGCTTCTCATTGAGAGGATCTGAGGTCAGAGAGGACACATGCGCAGCAATCTCCGAGTTCCACCAATTCAATGCTTCTCATTGAGAGAATCTGAGGTCAGAGAGGACACATGCGCAGCAATCTCCGAGTTCCACCAATTCAATGCTTCTCATTGAGAGGATCTGAGGTCAGAGAGGACACATGCGCAGCAATCTCTGAGTTCCACCAATTCAATGCTTCTCATTGAGAGGATCTGAGGTCAGAGAGGACACATGCGCAGCAATCTCTGAGTTCCACCAATTCAATGCTTCTAATTGAGAGGATCTGAGGTCAGAGAGGACACATGCGCAGCAATCTCTGAGTTCCACCAATTCAATCCTTCTCATTGAGAGGATCTGAAGTCAGAGAGGACACATGCGCAGCAATCTCAGAGTTCCACCAATTCAATGCTGCTCGTAGAAGAGCATTGAATCCAATAAATGGCCATGAGAAGCATTAACACCATTCAGCATCATCATGCTGTTCGCGATGATGATGTCGAACATTAGATCTCATGAAATAAAACGTCTGAAGGAGGAGAATGTCTGTCTGACAGCCAATAAAGGCACAGTTAAAGCAAAATGTAAATATTGCTGTTTTTTTTAGAAATGGCAATATTTCACAATCAAGACAGATAAAAAGGACAGGATCTATGCAACAAAATCAGTACTCTGGTGAGTGTCCCTGTGAAGCACACTTTGTAAAATGTAAGTCCTATTACAAAGCTGATAACAATTCTCCAATGCTTCTCTATATCCATAATACGCAAAATTCAAATTTCAATATATTGCTTAGTAAATAAACCCCTTTACATGTGATTAACAAACTGTACAGACTACCACTCACTGATCATCGTTAGGACATTATTTTACTTTGATTATATACATTGAAATCACCTCTTTTTGCAAAAAAACACATAAACCAGCTACCTGAATAGGACATAAAATGATTCACATCTCCAGGTACCCGTAAACTCTCCCTAGGGGTCAGGGTCACTGACACGGATTTATAATTATGCTACATGTGTATCAGCCTTCTCTGTGACTCCCCAGCTGGTTAAATCTCCATTGTCCACTTTTTAATTGATCTTTATCTGTCATCTTGTTTGCTCCACCTCCCCAGCCGCTGACCTTTCTAAGTTGGTTTTTTTAACCTGCCCCTTCTCCTTCACCCGCCCCCTCTCTTTCTCCGATCCTCATCAGTAAAATTACTTTGAAAAACACTCATGTCAACCAAATCTAAAATTTCATCTGCGGTTCTAATTAGATTAACAAACTGTTATAAAGGTGACATGGCACCATAAGCACTACAGCTCATTGTAGTAGTTATAGTGAGAGTGTTTGGATCTGAACGGTCAGACAAAAAACAAGGTTCTTCTAGCACATAAAGCATGACCCCTCTGCTGCCGCTCAATTAATACAGAATGGGTTATCCGCATTAGCCCATCCAGCTCTGGGTGGCAATGAATGGCTGCCCATCCGTTCCACCCTTTTCTCCCCAAAACCTTACTTCATTACCCCCTTTATTTCTCAAATTCTCTACTATTACCTGACTACATGTCTCCTCCATTCTAAGTTTCTCTCCCGTTACCCCACTCTTCCCTCATTAGTGTCCTCCATCTCCTGGTACCTCACTCTCCCCTCACAAGTCTCCTCCATTCCACGTTCCTCTCTCTTTACCTCACTCTTCCTTAACTAGTGTCCTTCATCCCCCCAATCCTCTCCTGGTACCTCACTGTCCCCAACACTATTTACCTCCATCCCCCCAATCCTCTCCTGGTATCCCACTCTCCCCTCACTATTCACCTCCACCCACTCTCCCCTCACTACTTTCCTCCATCACCCTAATCCTCTCCTTGTACCCCACTCTCCCCTCACTACTTTCCTACAGCCCTCCAATCCTCTCCTTGTACCTCACACTCCCCTCACTACTCTCCTCCATCCCCCTAATCCTCTCCTTGTAACCCACTCTCCCCTCACTACTCTCCTACAGCCCTCCAATCCTCTCCTTGTACCCCACTCTCCCCTCACTACTCTCATGCATCACCCCTTTCCTCTTCTGGAACTTCACCCTCCCCCCCTTACTAGACTCATCAATCCCCCCCAATCTTTTCTTGATACCCCACTCTCCCCTCACTACTCCCCTCCATCTCCCAGTAACTCTTGTTCCCCTCACTAGTCTCTTCCATCCCCCCAATCCTCTCCTGATATCTCTCCCCCCCCCCTCACTAGTCTCCTCCATCCCCCCAATCCTCTCCTGATACCTCCATCTCCCCTCATAAATCTCCTCCATCCCCCCAATTCTCTTCTGGTACCCCTATTTATCATTGTTATCCATTCTGCTCAGCCCTCTCATGTTACCTCACTTTACCAGGTTCCTCCATACCCCCCAATCTTCTCTTGGAACCTCTAAATGTTCTCCCAATCCTCTCCTGTTAATGCAATCCCTCCTCACCAGTCTCCTCCATGAATCCTCTCTCTTCTCTGTTGCATCTCTGCGTATTTCCCTATGCCCTTCCTCTGACCACCAGTTCTCCTGTGGTGCTGATGAGATCAGCAGAGACTTGCAATAATAAATGATGGACGGACGATGGATGGATAGACCGTTAGACACAGATAGACTGTCAGAGTAGCAGATGGAAATGGCTAGTCCTATTGACAGATAATAGATACATGTTCAAGGCTCATCTCATGCACTCCTACTCAGATTTTCTTCATTCATCTCTCCTAACCTCCCTCCTCCTCCATCGCCTTTTCCTGTCTCACTATAGACTTATCTTCTCTCCATCATCTCGTTTCCCCATCTCCCACCCTCCTCACCTGTTTTCTCGCTGGACATGTCTCCTAGGGGAGGGAGCTGCGTGGGTTTGGGGGGGTCCTCAGATGAATATGGCAGGATGGGGGGTCTCTCCTCGCCCCCTGTCACTGTCTCCCCCCCTCACTGCTTTCCCTCTGATCCTGCACCAATTCTTTCTGCTGCAGCCTCTCCCTCCCCCTCCTTTCTCTCTCCTCCTCCCCCTCTGATTCTCTCACCCCCTCTTTCCTCCTTCTGTGATTCCCTCCTCTGCTCTGAATTCTTTTTCTCTCTATTTTCCCAACAGTTTTCCTCTCCTCCTCTTTGTGATAGTCTTTCTATTTTCCTTTTACAGAGCCCTCCTCTTTTCTTTTCTATCGCCTCCCTTTTCTTTCTGTTTTTTTTTTTTTTTTTTTACCCCTTCTATTCTGTATGTGCTTCCAGTCTCCATCACTTACCGCCCCCTCTTTTCTCTGCACGGACTGCTCCTAATATTTCCTACTGGTCCCCCATGGTACTCTATGTTACTCTTATCCCATATCCTTCCTTCCCCGCTGATCCTTTATACGACACTCTACCTATCCCCTACTACGCACTTTGCATGTCATTCACCTGTCCCCTTGAAAGGCCTGTCCACCTGCCCACCCCCTCCATGTTTCTTTTTCATTTCCATGTCCCCTTGTAATAAAAAGCAATGTTCTGCTGTCACTGTGTCGTGTTGGCACCGCACACGTTAGGACAGCACGTTTTATTGCTTATGTTCCGTACAATGCCTAGCAGGGGAGCAATTAAACATTTGGTCCTTTATACAGGTTCTTGGGTTCTCATAGCTCGCACAGCACCCCCAAAACATGTTCTTTTATATTCCATTGGGAAAAAGCACACTGACGTGTATTCACTGAACGCCAAATTGAAGTGAATTGAAAGATAAACTGCTAAATTGTGGGATCAATTGCAGATCTGAAAAATTCTCTAACTCTCCTATAGTCTCAGCTGAGTTATTTTACCCTAAACTTTGACATTTTCATTTCAATTCTCTATTATTGAGTGCTTAGTTATACAACACTCTGTATATCCTTTATCTTCTGTGACATTCCTTTTAATATTTTTGTCCCCTTCCTAGCTCCCGTGAATGCAACGTACCCCTATTGTTTAACCTCTTTCTATATCTTTTTATAAGGTATGTTTATGCACAATCAAACGATGGAGGTTAAAAGGCCGAGCGTCCATTTTGTGACATTCCACTGGTGTTACATGAATTACAATACAGTGTCAATATTGTGACTGTCACAATTGCATGCGTACCCATAACCCCTGGGAATAGACTGCTAATTAAAAGTGGCCACTAGGGAGCTTGTAATCCCAGAATGATGAGAATTAAAATCAATTGTATCTTGTGGATAGTCCCTTGTAAGGTGGACTCCATCACTCTCAGGCAGTGATCACACACACAGTGATGATGGGGTCCAACTGACAGTATCCGGGGTGCAGGAGATCCCCTAACTAACATTGATGTAGGTTTAGGGGACACTCACATCCTAAAGGGAACTCTTTCTTCACTTGAATTACACTATTAAATAATAGATCAAATATAACGTGCTAACTTTTTATGTGATGTGTCTTTAATATGTATAGTGGACTTTTATATGAAAGATTTAGCAATTGATACATTGGAGACGGAGAAACAGGAATGTAGTGCGTTATACATAAAGATAAATTCTGGAGCAAAGTTCTAAAAATGGAGCAATCGGCGGGGACAGTCCATCAGTTACCATGGTAATTTCTCCACTTTAAGATTTTATATGCAATCATCTCCTCGTTTTACATTCTATGTGCAGTAGGTCAGAGTTTATAATAATGATTGACGTTGAACCTGATCTTACAAACCCATAAATGTACAAAATTGGGGATATGTAAAAATAATCTTAAAAATCTTTCACAGCTCTGTGACATTTTCCCTGTGCCGCGTGTAACCTTAAACCACACAGTTCCAAACCATATTCTGGAATAACACAGCTCTCCATTTTAAATGAATTCCAGCTATTCCAATTCATTACCCGGGATTAATAAATATACTGTTTGCCGTGAACATTGTTTTTGTTTATTTAGATTTTACTTTACTGAATGGAATATTCCCTGAGCTCAAGTTTTCATTTTTCTCTCCTGCTGTATCATGGAAAGTACCCTTCATGCCACGTTCTTGTGCCCGCTGTCACCCCACATCTTCCAGAAAACAATCAATGACAGCTTGTTTGGAAGAATGCAGGACAGCGGGGGAGTCACGTGACGGCAGTGGGACTGCGTGAGGACAGCCAAGGAAATCACCATCATCACCAACAGGCAGTACAAAGGACATTCTGCAAAAACGAAACACAAGGAAACCTTCAACGCTTTCTGAAATGTCACATTCCTAGCAATCATCAATATCTGGCCCTTAAAGACCTTATGCCAATTATTAACCGTCCTAATTATTAACCGTCAGCAGCTCCATGTCACAAAATTAGATGATAACCTAGTTTGGATCAGGATATTTAAAGACCAGATCATCATGACATCTATTGGCCGGGTCCCGTAAGGGGTTAAAATGAGCAATTGCTTAAAGACACACAGGGGTATAAACAGAAGTTATTTTGTGATTCAGTGAGGAGATAGAAAGCAGTTATTCTGTGATACAGTAAGGGGACAGACAGGGATTATGGTGGGATGTAATGTGGAGATGGAGATAGTTATGGTGTGGTTTAGTAAGGAGGTAGTGACTATGGTGGGACTAATTCACGAGATAGTGGTTATGGTGTGATTTCGTGAGGAAAGAGATAGTGGTTATGGTGTGATTCAGTAATGAGATAGTGGTTATGGTATGAATTACCATATAGATAGTGGTTATGGTGTGATTCAGTAATGAGATAGTGGTTATGGTATGAATTACCATATAGATAGTGGTTATGGTGGGATATATAAAGTTAGGGGCAAGCTGAAGTGGTTATAGTGCTTAGAGTAACCCTTTAAGAAATGTGTTTTCACCAAGGTTTCATAATTTTGATTTTTTTTTGGGGCTAGGGCATTTTTCGTACCGGGGCCCCATGGTGTCTAGTTACGCCTTTGTCTATATCTTGAGTATTTTTTCTATTCACCTCCACAAAGAATGGCAGATCTAACATCACTAAATTTAATATAGCTTGGGTTAAGGAGTAATAAACTCATCAGTGGGCTACAAAAACAAATCCTTAAATCTGGAAAACTGAATCAAAGCAAAACATATTTTATATATGTGTATTTTTCTCATTGGATGTTTACATTCCTAGTGTACATATTTCTTAATAAATAGGGTCTACTAGCCTTTAGCCAAAATGATGTAGGTCCATTCAGCATTCTACCAACCTTTAGCCAAATTTAAAGCTAAGCATCTTGGGAAATGTAGCCTATTCAGCGGTCATGTTTATACATTGCCCAAACTGCAGCAGGGAAAAAATATGCTGGCATATTAACAGAATAGGTCGAACCCACTTGAAATGTTAGAAAATGTTAGTTATTTACACTCAATTTTACACAATTTCTTGCATAACTGAAAACCTCAGGGGGGTGGACATGACTTTCGAGCTGTACAGACATGGGCAGCACGAGCTCTTGCTGGCGGGCAGATTTAGGGGTTTTATCGGCGACTACATAGCCAAAAGACTTACCCGGGTACACTACCCACGTCCGGGGTGCACTGCTGAATTGAGTGACACCTCACTGGAGCCCGTCAAGGCCGGAACGCCACGTTGTGGCCCACTAGAGTTGCAGCTGGGGAGAGGTGGCCGCTCTCCCAAACACCGGACTCACCAAGCAACTCTGCTGGTCTCCTACCCCCCACCCACTTTGGACAAGTGGAGTTTGTCTCAGTCCCCATGGGGTGGACAGACTAATGCTCTCCCTGCTGCATCTGCATACCTTTTCCAGCGCCCCGACCATACAAGATGGCGGAGGTCATTCCACATGCCTCACAAGCCTTCAGCAAGTCACATGGGCCCTACCAAGATTACATGGAAGCAAGGCAGGACACAATATTCCAGGCCTTCTGGGACAAACTGCAGGCACGCTCCACAGCCGCCAGGTCCAAACAGAGGACAGAGAGAGGCTTACGGACAGCGTCGGATAGTACACCTCCGGGCAGCGCAACCACCCAAATGCTTCACCACACAAGCGACTGCCTTCCTAGGCCGAAAGCCATCAGAGGCATGACCTTGGGACATTGACCAAGCAGGAGGAAGATCGCACACCGCTGGCATACACCTACTCAATCTTCCAAACGCCCCTTGGGGGGCAAGGACTTAGCCGCAAAGAGGTACCAAGTCCATGGACAGAGGATGTCGGCTTTCACAAAGACCTGGAAGAATACCTCACTAACCTGTTGCCCCCCCATGCTGATCCTGAGCCCTTCATTCATGATCGGCAAGCCTGCCGACCCAGGAAATCAGCTGAAACAACGGCAGACCCGCAGTCTGGCAAGTGGACCCTGTGCGGAAGGCGGAGGCCATTAATTATTGAGCCCTACGCAAAGAACTCACTGCCTTTTTAAGTTAACGTTATGTGCCCTACTATCTCATATGTATCTAGTGCAGCAATGTGTAACATCTTATGCCCAGTAGTAAAAAAGTCTGTTTCGTTAAGATAGCCAGCCATTTTTTTTTGTTTCCTATTACTGTGTGTGATAAGCCTCTTTACAGAATAGTTAAGTATCTCATCCACGCATATGCCTTCTAGCGACAATGCACAGGGACTATAGGCCTACTCTTGACTAAATCTTACAATAATATGTAGTATTTACCAGCATGTTCTCTTACTCTCTTTAATATAAAATTATGCTGTTTCATCACAGTTGTACATATCTGAGCTCTACATACCAAATCTGTCTGCAAACTACCTGTATAATTGTGTCATTTAATGTGCCTGCTGTTGTTGTTGGGACAAAGCAGGAGATTGTATACTATTCAGAACTACAAAAATTAAAATTTACAAAAAAAAAAACTGATAACCTCAGGTGTCTCCGTCAGCCAAGGGCTGAGAAATATTAACCAAATGGCTTTTAATGTCAGCCCAAACAAACTAGCACAGGTCCATTATCTGTACCCACAGACCACGAGTGGCTATGGAGGCATCTTCTGTTCTATCAGGTTCCACATTTTGCCGTTAAAGCCCAGGCGCACAATGAACCACACTGAACATTATAAAAGAAGAAGCTGCTGCAGTCTTTTTATTATTACATTCAAAACATTGCAAAAAAGATGGACAAATGAAAATGTGGTCTTTTGAGAACAGGAATGTCTTCTAAAACAGCATCACGCATATCCCATCACACTATTATACGGTTATAATAGTTTTAATTTCACAATCAAACCTTATAGCCCCGTCCACACTTTCTTTCCTTCAACTTATTTTTCTCTTTTAACCCCTTTGTTTTTTCTCACCAACTTACTGTGTCTTAGTTATTGTTTCATCTAACTTTTTTCTTTCCCCTGAATTTTGCATTTTGACAACCTATCTTTCCTTTCACCAACCTTTAGGCTCCTCTCTATGTTTACCCTTCTTTTAATCCCACCATCTAGTAAATAGCAATTAGATAAGGGAAACAAAACCAACGATATTGGAATAAATCATTTGTTACATTGTTTTATTTCTAATTTTGGAGTCCGTTCCTTTGGTAAGCTGTCACCACAGTACACATCCCTCAGCTTTTTTTTTTTTTTTTTTAATTGAGAGACAAATACGGAAAAATACATCCTAGCAGTCAGAGACATCCTCTCTCAGAGAGGAACATCTCCTTGTAGAAAGACCTTCGGCTTAGCCTTCCCCAGGTCGGCACTCCAGGATGAGAGCATGCATATCTCTTAGAGCCACCTGGAAAAAGTCTGATAGTCTCTGGGCATCAGTCTCTTGACAGCAATCAAAGGCGGACACACAAACTGTGATATTGTCTTCAGAAGGCGCAAAGCAAACGCTGTAACCATCCGGAACCAAAGGTCCATAGCACATTACACAATCCATAGGAGAAGACACCTGAAGGAGGAAAGTATTAATATTATCGCTACGAGGTGAAAAATTTGCGGCGTTTTAATAGCAGCGTTACAACGGCTACATATGAATACATTCTAAAGATGATTAAAGTTACTGCGACAAAAATTATAATTTTTTTTTTTTTAAAAACCTTCACTGATTTAAAAAAACAATCAGTCGAACACACTGCTGTACAATATCTGCATATCTTAAAGAAACAAAATTCACACAAAGTAGATCTGAGCAATATTGTGTTTCCACCGCACTCCTGGAATTCAACTCAAAATATGCAAATGAGGAAAGACAACATTCATCTGTACAGATTTCCAACACATATTTCTATAGGCTCCCCTTGTGATGACCTATATTCTAATTCAGTTCTTTATATAAATACACAGATTGAAACAAAAATGAATTAACGTTGAGCGTTTCGCTGCACCGTTTCACCCTTTTGGGGCTCGTCAGCATAGTGCCGGTTATGGCTTAGAAATCAGAAACCTCAAGGTAAACATTAGTTAAATGAGAAATTCTTAACAAAAGAGAAATTCATGGCAGGTAGAGTAAAGAAATGCAGAATTCCCAACACATTACATTTTTATTTTTTCCCATTTAGAAGTATTGAGTACAAGATCCGTGAAATCATCTGAACATTTTCTTCTATTCACATAATTACTGGATAAATTACACCCAGATGGATTTCTTAGAACCATTAGCAGCTCTGGTTGTTATTTGCATATTGCACGTACACAGATACACACCTGCCCTGTGAATAGCTTCCAATGAGTAGAGACCGCATAGGATGTGTCCATCAGGATGGATGGGAGAGCAACTCCAGAGGAAATACACAGCATCTTCATAGCCAGGAGAGCGCCATCTACTGACTGTCCCTGTAACACCTGCAAAACATTGGCCCATTATAAAGGCTAAGGCACATTCAGACCCAAAACAGTCATGTCTTGGCTTCAAATATTAACAAAATGTGACTTTTAAAAATAGATTTAACGGTTAGAGAATACAATTCTATTTTTTAGTTCTATATTAACATAGTATCAAACTAGGCAAATATTTGTGATCAGATTTTTATGTTTTGTTTGCAACACCACATCTTGCTGGTCATATCACATGATCCATTAAACAAAAGGTGTTTTCATTATGAGTGAGATTTGATGCAACGTAAAATGAGAATGGCCAAGCTGGATTTAATAAACAGATTATATGACAAACATAACTCGGCATGTAAAGGGTTAAGGATGGACATAAGCCATTGTTATCATTGGGTTCAGCATTAGCTTCTTTTATTCGAAAAGAAAAAAAAGTTATTGATGTCTGGTTTATAGAAATACACTGTATCTCCTCATAATAAGCACAGGGTCTGCATGGGGAGTTTCTGGGGAATTGCATTTAGAGATAGCTGGCACTTTCAGACAATTCATTATTTCCAAAGTTGCAGAATTGCTTTAGTGGTGATGTTTACAGTGCTACTTAACACAGGTTACTCTGTGCGTCAAACAGCCTGCTGTACCAGGTACAGCAGGCAAACAGTTTTGCCCACAGTGACATGCCCAGGAATGCTGGCTGAAGAAGACCGATGCCAATCCTGCCATTCATTCATTGGCTGAGAGCGTTGGCCAATGAATGAACCTCCATACATGGAATAGGCACAAAATATACATAAACCAGCCTGGGGAGCTAAGGAAACCTGCTGGAGGTGGAGTTACTCCAGTGGCAGCAACATTAAATATTATATACAGCGTTTCAAACTGAGATGCTAGACATTCAGGGTCCTTGCACCATAACTATTTCAGAACAATGATGTGGCCATGATGCTTGGAGAACCCTTAAATGGATTCACACTAGCCCCATAAGAATCATTCACACTGCTGGGAAGAACTTTTCATGAGTCACCCAACAGTATGAAGAATGAATGGGTCATGGTAAAAAGTGCCAGGTCCAAACATTGTGGCTAGTAAGGACGACTAGACAGTTATATAGGAGCCCAAACCCCTAAACCCATCAATGAGAAAGGCTCCACCATCACTTACCTGCTCCGTGGAGTCCTGGTAAGTCTTCACTGCCCTTAACAAGAGAGACAGCTTCTCTTCTGCCTAGAACACAAACACAATGATTCTGATGGGTTAATTCACTATACAGCATGTTGTGGTGAATTGGAGAACGGGGTTGAGGATTTAGGCATTAATCACCAGTTTTGTTCCGGTTAGGATATCAAAACAACATGGACCATTAGTGGTTCTCAAGGACACAGCCGGGATGCATGGCGATAAAGTTTGCCATATTTGTCAAGGTAAAACCAGGTGCAATTCAAGAGCAAAGTACTAAATAATGGCAGTCACCATGGAAACCAGGAGAAATTCTCTCAACATGTGTCACGTGACTTCAGAATGGCAACTTGTTTTACCGTCATAAACATGGCTTATTTATATGGACTGTTTCTGGGTGTTAACGTCCACAAACAGTAAACTGCCATGTCCAATAGCTTCCAATCCTGGTGGCCCAAGACCTTGTTAGAAGATGTTTTCCTGGGAGAACAGGCTTAAATGGAAATAAACCATTAATTAACAATTAGCTTCTAAAACATGTTCAATGATCACAACAAACTCTCACCAGCCCTCTCCTCCTGGAATTAATCACTGATTCAGCTGTTCACAATGGAGAAAAGGACACAACAACATTCAAACAACAGAAACAGAATTCTCCCAGTGTTGTTGGGGCAAGCTGAATGAATTACATTATCTTCGGTTGAAGCATTTTGCTTGAGGGGTCTTGTCCCAACTTCCATTTGTTGATTTTGGCGATGAGTCAAACGAGGCTCTCCTGGCACGGAATCCAAGCTTGCAGTGAAATGCAGTGATTCACACAGTTTGTAAACACATCAGCTCACAGACGCACTAGCGAAGCTTTCAAACTCGGAGAGATACAGGTTAATGGATGCGGAAACAATTCAGTTCATTCTGCCCCCAGCAACCATAACAAGCTTTCATTTCCAGGTGCTCTTCGCACTTGTCCATCATCAGAAAGTGTTACATATCTAATCACAATTGCAAAAAAAGGAATTACCCCAAACATGGGTCTGAATGTGGGTAACGGCACAGTCCACATACACAGCGCTAGAATGGCAGAGAAAAAAACAAAAACTGCAGATCAATCTAATCTGGATATTTCTGTCCGGGATAACGCTACACCTGTCCCATGTACCTTGAAATCACTTTACAGCCAATCCATATACGCATAATACCCAACAAAACACAGAATAGCCGAGCACAGCGTAATATTCAATATCCAAACATAGCAGAACCATGCTTTACATTTATTATCCATGCAGAATTCCTACCGCAGTCTGACTCCATAGTGCCACATTTAAACTCCTTTTGGCATCTATAGAGAAACAAATATTTGAGTTACATTTTCTGTGGCCGTTAAATGGGTAATCGTATCCCGTTGGATTTCATATTCATTTTTCTTTGCTTAATGGAAGTTCATTTTTAATACTTTAACTGGATAAAGGCTTCACTATACCAGTATCTTGTAACAGAGAAATGACTGTATAATGTTTACTATAGTGAATATTATAATATTACCAGGATCCGCACCACCTACTGGCTGCTTGTACATTAGCGGAGAGTTGATCCAACATAAATTAGAAGGACAATGGAACCGGATGATACAGAAGGTGTAAATACATACAGGCAGACTGAATATTAAATGACAGATAAAGGATTGCTTATTACAGTAAGCCTTTACAGGTTTCCTGGATGCTGGAGCGCAGGAGTTCAGGATTTCACCATTATTAACTATGTAAACAGTGAGAAAGTTCTTAAAGTAACACTCCACCGCTCAAATAGAAAGTAAATAAAAATCACTGTTTAGTAAATATACCCTAAAACAAAAGCTTGTAGGCATTTAATTATACATTTTTTTCCATTGGGGGGGTTTATCTAAAAACAGCTTGCAGAAGCTGCATTTCTCATATTTCTTATCTGCTGCCTTTGCAATCCCTCCCCTTCTAACCCCGCCCAGACTTTCTGTGGCTGTCCAATCACGGGCTTTCCAATGCAGCTCAATGAGAAGTCTTTGCAAGGCTCACTGTTATGTTACAAACACTTTAAAATCGTATACACTGCATATGCAGTATTTGCAGATATCTCAATTTTTTATTTTTATTAAAGGGACACTGTAGGCACCCAGACCACTTCAACTCACCACTTCAACTCTCTTTTGCACCTAATTCTGCAATGTAAAACATTGCCGTTCCAAAGAAACTGCAATCATTACATTGCAGCACCAAGTCTGCCCGCAGTTACGGTCTACCAGACAGCCAATTGAGGCGCTTCATGGATTGAAAAGGACCTTTGGTCCGGTATCTGACACTGGATGTCCTCACGCTCTGCATTGATTCAATGCTTTCCTATAGGGAGGTCTAACGCGTGCGCGGCATTTGCTGCGCCTGCACATTAGCAACCGCTCATCGTGGGACGTCGGAGCATCATCCCAGTGCTGAGGGACATCGGCACTGGGATAAGGTAAGTAAATAATGGATTTTTAACCTTTTATTTAGCAGGTTGGGGGCGCGAGAGGGAGGGGGGAGACAGAAGGAGCTATAGTGCCAGGAATACAGCTTTGTATTTCTGGCACTGCAGTATCCCTTTAAGAAAAAAATAAAAAAAATAAAAACAAGTTTAGCAGCTTTTTGGTAAAGAATAGTGAAGTTATCCTTCAGAACGCCTGCTTATAAAGCTTGAAAATCTTTGCTGTGCTCAACCCACAAGCAAATCAAGTGGACCTTTATATAACGTGCAGATTGCCACTATCTCTTTAAATATCCCTACCATGAAACCAAGATATCAGCATCCTAAGATCTTTCAGCTACTATTTAACAACCTTATGTGTGACATACCTTTTTACTTGGGTCATCTGCAGCTTTTACAAATTCCAAAATCTCTGGAGAAGTACAGCGCACGACATCTGATCGCCCCCGATGAAAGGATCGCATTGAGACCACCTCACATGTAGCACAGAGATCTCCGTGTAACCTGAGGGACAGAATAAAGATCTCAAAAGAATCCTCAACATCTGGCCAACAAACCTACTGGAAGAATTTCAAACTCACTGCAAGTATTTGACCACTCATTCCTGACCTTCTCGGACAATCTTCACCAGGAGGTCTAAAATCAGCCCTCATTTCCATAGAATTATTATATTATGACTGGACAGCCAATGCCTTGATGTCTAGCAGTTTAGCAGAGCTCACCGTAGATCTCTTTGTACTAAATACAATGTTCTAGGATACCTTTGGACAGGGGCTCCTACAGCTACCATCCATGGTAGCTGTATGAGCCCCATTTAACCTCCCCTTTAGCAGTTTGCATATAACCACTGTATTTACCTGTAATACCCCAGCTGGAGGCAGATCTGCAAAAAGGCCCCAGGTCTCAAGCTGTGTTTCCGAGGAAACCTTTTTCCAAAATCAGGAAAGGTGAAACAGCAAATGTCCAGATCATTGACCAATCTGTAAAGGGAAAGGAGACAGAACAAATGAATGAAACATGTTTATTTATTGCTTCATTACTGAGACTAAGACCCCACTCTGTACGGTACTAGTCAAACCAATCATCGTAAGAGCTAACCATTCCTTGTCACTGCCAGCCCTGCCATAATTCTACAATAGCAGACAAATCCCATCCCAACACTGTAACCATACATATCCCATTTTACTATTGATTAACATAAGATAATCCTTTGGGCTAGCCGCTAGCCCATTGCAGGACTGAACACTCACTACTGGTTCATGAATGCTCTCTTTACATATACCCGCTACTTTACTCCTTTATTTTTATCTGCCTGCTATTGTTTTGATTGTGCTTTCCATTAACCCACTCTCCCATCTCCGCTGGTTCGTCTCTGTCCTCACCCTCATCCTGAAACCATTTGCACTCACATGTCCAGGTTCTGCTTGGCCTGCTCTATGTGCTGCTTGATGTCAGGAGGGAAACTGAAATAGAGTTTCCTTGGAGGTGGGAGGCGGATCAGGGGTGTTCGTGGTGGTACCAGGGTCGGGCCCCTAGAACTGGAAAGGTGTTGTAGTCAGAACACAGCCCTGCTACACAGGAACAGGTATTAATCACGAACATGAAAACCTACAGCGGCTACATGGACTGAGCACATACTAACCCTACAGCAACTACACGGTCTGAGCATGAACCAACCCTACAGCAACTACATGGACTGAGCATGAACCAACCCTACAGCGATTACACAGGCTGAGCATGAATCAACACCTCCATTGACTACAAAGACTGAGCATGAACCAACCCTACAGCGGCTACATGGACTGAGCACATACTAACCCTACAGCGACTACATAGACTGAGCATGGGCCAACCCTACAGCGACTTCACGGACTGAGCATGAACCAACCCTACAGCGACTAAACGAACTGAGCTTTGTTACGGGCAAATGCAAATATTACAAGTTTTAGAATGAAATGTTGTATTTCTTAAACTGTGTACTTTGTCTTTAAGAGATATTGCAAACTGACAAGGTGTTAGACATGGAACATTGTTTTTCATAACTGTTTCTTTAAGCAATAACCTCAGTGCATAATATGTTTGCGACATTTTGTCCCAGACGAATTACAATAACAATAATGCATAAACAAGCTTCAAGGCTTTGCTACGACTCTTGCAGTACACAATATACTGTGGTAACCCCAAGTTAATGGAACTTCCCCAAATCCGGGAATCTCCCACGACTGTACACTTACGACTTAGTATAAACAACAGATAACCTATCCAGACTTTAAGATGCCATCTTGAACTAAGTCAGGAAAATTTCCATGACGTATACACCCTTTAGTTATGGCCTTGTATGTTTGCCAAGTTAAGGGAGGTCCTAAATTGAATAAAGTAAAAGAAGTGTTACTTTTTCATATTTGAACTACAGTAACCTAAAATGGAGACACCTAAGGTATAAATAGGTGTACTTTTAAAATGTTAAGACACAGAGGAGAGACTTGGAGACAGACGCTGCTCCATCTTAAAATGACAGAGAGGCTGACATGATGACATGTTCAGAAGGGTATGTTAACCTATTAATGATATTTGCAAGCATGTAATTTAATCTTTTAAACTCTGCTATAATGGATTTTATATTTTTATATATTAAATATCCAAAAAGACAATCTTGCTTCCAAGACAATCCTTATTTTATATTGTATTCTCAATTATTTATATATGTTAAATAGAGGATCTCTTACACTATATAAAATTATGGCTAAGATATCTGTATGGTTAGCCCTACTAAGTTCTATGCTTTAAGACATTATAGTGGTAAATAAGGGAACCACACACGGTTACAGCTTAAACTAACCCTACAGCAACTACACGGGCTGAGCATAAACCAAACCTACAGCAACTACATGGGCTGAGTATAAACCAACCCTACAGCGACTACACGGGCTGAGCATAAACCAACCCTACAGCGACTACACGAACTAAGCATAAACCAACCATACAGCGACTACACGAACTGAGCATAAACCAACCCTACAGCGCCTACACGAACTAAGCATAAACCAACCATACAGCGACTACACAAATGGAGCATGTATTAACCATACAGCAACTACATGGACTGAGCATGAACCAAACCTACAGCGACTACACGAACTGAGCATGTACTAACCCTACAGCAACTACATGGACTGAGCATGAACCAAACCTACAGCGACTACACGAACTGAGCATGTACTAACCCTACAGCAACTACATGGACTGAGCATGAACCAAACCTACACAATTAACTTTATAAATATTTTAGTTTACCAATGATATATACAGAAAGTGCTGCTGATCAGTTAGTAAAAACAGTAATCATTCAATATTCACTGCAAGCCTGGGTACTCACATACCAGTACTCCAAGACATGGCGTAGCATCGTCAGGACCGCCGAGGCATCAGCTGTCGCCTGGTCATATATCAGACCACACGTCCCATCCTCCCCCACCACGAACTGCAGGGGGTCATACTCAGTGTCACTGTGATGCAGGGAGGTATTGGTGCAGGAAGGAGTTAGTGTAGCGGTGAGGAGTTAGTGGAGTGACACACATACAATACAGTGACAGGTTAGCAAGGCAGAGGTAAAATATAGTGGGTTGAGAGGGTTAGCAGGTTTGGCTAGGTAATGGAATATCTAAGCACCTGCAGGGTCTTGTCAAACCAGCGATTCCCGCTATTGGCATGACTCCCTCCTCCATGCAGCATCTGAGCGGCAGTGCGGCTGCTGTACAGACCCTCGGAGTACTTCAGTGCCGTGGCATCGAGGCACAGTGTCAGGATGCTCTGCTGGATACTGTGCACAGACTCCCTGTTCAACCGGTCTGTAGAGAGAGTGGACACAGTATATGCTCTGCGTTGTGGGCGTATATCACATCCATTCATTTCTACTGAGATCAGCTTCGTACTTTGTCTAATACGGACCCACAATACAGCTGTACTCACTAGATCTCCGTACGGTGCTGCTCCCTCTGCTACTCCCAGACATGAGCACAATGGTAAACACATTATCTACTTTGAGGCCTCAACCTTCTATTCCAGTATTGACCCTCAATCATAATTACCTCGGATGAGGGAGGAATACGCTCTTCCCCAGCTGTTACGGTGGTCTGTGGTCAGCACCCCCACAGGTTCTTTGTCGGTCTTATAAGAGTGTTCTCGTAGGAAGACCATTTGCTGGTATATTTGGTCCTCAGTGAGTGGCGTTCCATCACTATTATATACGTCCAACTGGAAGAACTATAGGAACAACATGGATGTGGGGGAAAGTAGAAAAATGAGATCACTGTCTTTGAGGGGACAGAGGTGGCGTTAAATGGAGAGGACGTAGTGCACAATGGGAGAGTGGTGTAAAAAAGAGGTAGAAGGAGCAGCTGGATGGAAGGTGGATGGTGAGAAATAGAGAGAGCAAGAGAAGGAGAGAGGTGTATGAGAAGGATGGGGGAAGTAAGAGAATGGAGCATGGTGTATGAGGCTACTTGGGGAGCCTGAGGTATGGAGGAGGAGTACAGTGAAGTTAAATGGAAATGTGTGTAGGAGGAGGGTAATGCAACTTGGTAGATGTGTGTAGGAGGAGGGTAATGCGACTTGGTAGATGTGTGTAGGAGGAGGGTAATGCAACTTGGTAGATGTGTGTAGGAGGAGGATAATACGACTTGGTAGATGTGTGTAGGAGGAGGGTAATGCGACTTGGTAGATGTGTGTAGGAGGAGGGTAATGCGACTTGGTAGATGTGTGTAGGAGGAGGGTAATGCGACTTGGTAGATGTGTGTAGGAGGAGGGTAGGTGTATGAGAAGGATGGGGGAAGTAAGAGAATGGAGCATGGTGTATGAGGCTACTTGGGGAGCCTGAGGTATAGAGGAGGAGTACAGTGAAGTTAAATGGAAATGTGTGTAGGAGGAGGGTAATGCGACTTGGTAGATGTGTGTAGGAGGAGGATAATGCGACTTGGTAGATGTGTGTAGGAGGAGGGTAATGCGACTTGGTAGATGTGTGTAGGAGGAGGGTAATGCGACTTGGTAGATGTGTGTAGGAGGAGGGTAATGCGACTTGGTAGATGTGTGTAGGAGGAGGGTAATGTGACTTGGTAGATATGTGTAGGAGGAATGGGGTAGTAGGAGAAGGGGGCTGTGTGGAGGATGATGATGGAGAATGAGAGAGGCGTGTAGGGTTATGTGAAATGTGAGATGAAAGTTTGTTAGAAGAATAATACATTATATGGAGATCCGCAGGGTCATGGTGGACAACATCCCACCTGAAAACATTCTAAACAGAAACTTATATAAACCTGTACATAATCAAGATACAAAGCGACACAAATGCGGACACACAGTAAGGGGACAAGCAACAGAGCCGTAGACAGTGAAGGTGGAGAATGATGGAGCAATGGAGACAGTCAAGATGGAGAGTGAGACAGTCTTGGAGGCCGCCAAGGTGGAGAATGACAGAGCCATGGAAATAGTGCTCCTCTAAGAGACAGTCATGGCTAGAGAGTGACAAACCCCTGGAGACATTCAAAGTGAAAAGTGAGAACCATAGAAACAGCTAAAGTGACAACAGATACAGAAGAGCAAGATGCTCCGAGACAGTAAGAGTGGAGATTGAGACAGCCATGGAGAGAGTCAAAGTTGAGAGTGACACAGACAGAGTCATGGTGGAGAGTGACACAGTACATGGACATGGTCAAGGTGGAAAGTGACACAGCAAGTGTGATATAGTGGGGAATTCTATGAGAGACAGCTGGGGATTGTAGTCTAGTGGGGCACTCTCAGAGAGAAAACTGGAGAGCTCTGTGTGACCTGGTAGTTTCTGCAGACTGTCACATGATGAGGACCGGCCTTGTGACGAGGCTGCAGCAAGACACGGTCTCTCTTGTACCCCGGTTCCCTGCATGATCCAAAGAAATTGTGATACTGGTCTTGACAAAGATTGCGGCCTCTCCATAGCTCTGGGAGTCCTTCGGGGCTGAGTCATGAAAAGAAGACATGGATGAGATGAAAAATAAAGAGAAAGCTACCGGCATGATAAACAAGAAAAAGAAACACACCTCTCAACCTTCGCTTTGAAATCCAGAACACCAGAAATTAATTTTGCCGCAAACCTAAAAAGCAACAACAAGTTTTGATTACTGATAGTGAATGGTAACCCAACAACAACTATCAAAGGCCTATCCCACTGAGGAAGACAGAAAAGTAGCCACACAGTTATTAAAAAAACAAAAAAAACATGAACTATTGAAAACTCACAAAGGAATTGCTAAAAAAAAAAAAAGTGACATGAAGAATGTATCCAATTGGGCTATTTTACCTTTCTGGTGATTCCTAACAATTCATGGTTTAGAGACTCCTTCTCAGTTTTGAATAAAAAATTAAGTTTATATGCGATATGGATAGCCCGCTAGCAGAAGAGAATACCACAATACCAACTAAGGGGTTGCCATGGACATAGAGGAAGGACCACTAATGGGGTTTAGCCAACTATTGAGCTGTCCTGCTGGGGGGAGTTGACGGGAGGGAGGGATAGCGATGGAGGGCCAGTGGACCGGGCGGAGCGGAATGATTTAATATTAGGGAGATGGAGACAAAGCTTTTCTTTTCTGTCTGTTTGTTTTGAGTTCGGTTTAAAATAAGAAAAATGGCATTGGCAAGGAAAGCGAGAGATAGAGAACCAGAAGGACACACATTCAATCCGCAGACTCGGAGCTATGCACAGTGGGATATGGGAGAGGAGAGGCGATCTCCACACGTGGGAATATTGGGTTTAGCATGGGGTATAAAAGCGATGTCTGTCACTGATGCGATTGCTATCTCTGTAAGTCAGGATGTTATGTCAATGCTCAATGTTAAATAAAGAATTGAAAAAATAAATAAAAATGAAGTTTATTCACTAAAATCATTAATGCAACAAACTAAAAATTTGAATCATAAAATTCTGGGTAAAAGAGGTGACCAGGAAAAATTCTCCTATTTAGATTTACGTTGGGTAATTCACCCCACATTTTGTAATTTGGATTTTAATTCACTACAGTTTGAAGATGAGTTATTAACCCTAAGTCTTGTTTAGCTTAACCTGCAAGCACTCAGACAGTTAAACACACAGGTAGGTCGATGTCACACACACACAAAAATAAGTTGCGTGACTTGTTTTGACACAGAAATGTAACAATTTTATTAAATGCTATATATTTCCAGGACTGTTCACTAAACAGGCAGATATACTGTAGGATCACAGCAGCAAAGTTGGACGTTTCTTCCCAAATTTTGTCATTTGACTGTCAGCTCACTTAACTGAGAAATGTTGAGAATTAATTAAAGTTTTTGATGAGATTAAGTGGTTAGGGTGCAGTAGCCCCTTTAGTTTTAACACATTGCTGTTTAGCATATACAGCAACATTATAAATTGCAGAGTTAAACACACCTCTAGCGTCTGTCTTCCTGACTGCCACTAGAGAGATTCCCTGTGATAAGTCAGTCAGACTCGGCTCGCAGTCAAATGCTGCTCCTAAAAAGCATGCGATTGCTATAATGTGGCAATTTGCCGCGCATGCACACTAGCCTCCCAATGCTTCTCTATGGGAAAGCACTGGATTGATGATGTCAGCCGAGGAAGGGAGGTGGCAGGATATCTACATAGTTAGTAGGACGCGATTGCATTTGCAATATTTGTTTGTATCCCCAACGCTATAGTGTTCCTCTAAAAGTAAAAATAGCAAAACTGAAGAAATTCTCCCACTACACTATATTTAATTTAGTTAATTTTGTCTTATTACTGCATAATTCCCCATTTAGTGAATAGACCCATTATATATATAATTTCTGAACTCTTGCCATGGCTGGTGGAGGAGTATGGGGGTTTTATGGATGCTGAGCCTGAAGGCTGACAATTCATGACACAGAGAGATGCTGAAAGACCTTGATTGCTTGTAAACCTATTACTGTGAGTAATCTATCTGAGGGTACCAGACAAAGTCTTAGTTTCTGGTTACACATCATCGCCCCGGGATTTCTAACGAGTTTCAGGAATGAGGTACCTTAGCTGTCCTCTCCAGTCTTTGTATTCTCTTTGGGGGAGAATGACAGCCGGGCTGGAATGCACAGGAAGGGGCAGGTGGTTTTCAAGGTATATAGCCTGCTGCCTCCAGTCTGTCAGCTAAGGAGCAGAGGAACGATGGTGAGAAAAAAACCAGGAGAAAATGGAACACAGAGAGCAAGGAATTAAAGTATAAGGATACAAATATTTTATTACATTGTGCATGGGTTGGCCTGCGTATGTGTTAGACTGCTAGCTCCTATGGTCTCACCCAGTTATCAGTGCGTTCTGCCCTCCGCTGTAGTTGTCGCTCTAGTTCCTCTGCCTGTCCCCTTGGGCGTAGAAATTCCTGCATCAGTTCTTGTGTGCTCTCCATCTCTTCCTCCGTAACCAACGGCTGGAGGGAGCGCAGGTATCGAGACAGGATCTTAGACAGATTGGGGACAGGCTGGTGAGGAAGGGGCGAGGGGACATAGTACCTGCGTAGAGGGGGTGAGGGCAGCTGGGGAGCAAGAGTATAAATTAAAGTATGAGAAACACAATGAATCCCAAACCCAAAATAATGGTGAATCACCATAATGCACAGGAAATATAAAATCAGGCTACAGGGACCATAATGCACTGCAAAGCCAGAACTAAAACAGGCTACAGGGACCATAATGCATCGAAACCCACTGTTAGAGCAGGACTATGAGGACCATAATGCAGTGCAAAACCAGAACTAAAGCAAGGCTACAGGGACCATAATGCACAGAAATCCACTGTTAGAGCAGGACTACAAGGACCATAATGCACCGCAAAGCCAAACCTAAAGCAAGGCTACAGGGGCCATAATGCACTGCAAAGCCAGAACTAAAGCACGGACCATAATGCATTGAAAAGCCAGACCTAAAGCAGGACTACAGGGACCATAATGCACTGCAAACCCACTGTTAGAGCAGGACTACGGGGACCATAATGCACTGCAAAGCCAGACCTAAAGCAGGATTACAGGGACCATAATGCATTGCAAACTCACAGAGCAGGACTACAGGGACTGTAATGCAATGCAAAGGTAGTATTAGAACAAGGTTGATGGGACTGTAATACCATGCAAAGGCAGGACTAGAGTAGGGCTATAGGGACCACAATGTACGGCAAATATAAAGTTAGAGTAGGGCTATAGGGACCATAAATGGCAAATGCAGCATTAGAGCAGGGCTACAAGGGAAACACTGAATTAGAAAGAGGTCTGTATATCACAATAACTCAAAGCACACCCTCATACTGTACTCTATGGCATGGTTACATTACGCTGCAGCAGCTGTTAATAGAGTTGCCAGGTCCACCGTGGTTTTCCAGCTATTTCCACATCCTGCATTGCAGCTCTGCCCATCAACACAAGGGATAACAATATGGTGGGTCTGGCAACACAAGGCTTAAAGCACCATCACAGTCCTCTCAGGTCTCAAAGAAGGTGGTGCTACAAGTCTCTGCTTGCTCAGTTAACTAAGGGTGGGCAAATGCAGCCTTCTGTGCTTTGCTGGAGTACAACTCCCATCATCCCGAGTCAACCAAAGACTGGCTGTGAGTGATAGGTCTTGCAACCCAACAAGAGCCAAAAGGATGCACTTGTCCTGCTTGGGATAAAGCAGGAGGTGGCCAAAAGGTAGATCCACAACTGCTGCATAACTACAACTCCCATGATGCTTTGCCAGCTGGTGTAAACAAAGAACAGAAATTGGGGCTGTCTTGCAAGATAATGCCAATACTGTAAGCATCTAAAAGTCTACAAATTATTATGTAGATCTTCCCGGGCACATTGCTCTGCGGTATCCTGCAAACTTGCAGAGCACTCCAGCCATGCTCAGCACTGGGCAGCTGCAATGCTCTGCAGGTATCTCACCGTAGCCCTGAGGAGTGCTCTGCAGTGTATGAGATTTCGTATCATTGTCCCAGCTGGCCCACCCCCACTCACGGACCCTTGGGGAAATTTTTGTTCTTCGGTTGAAGGTGCTAGAGGAGGGCCAGGCCTGAGGGTGAGGGGCCGGAGCGAGTTACACACTTCCTGCAGGGTGGAGCTGGGAGGAGGGCCTAATGATCTGTACACTGAGACTGAGTGGCCCTATTCACTAAAGTGTGAATTGTTGGGAATTCAAGGTGAATTCAAAATTAAAGGGGCATTCTAAGCACCAAAACCACTTTCATCATCATACAATAGTTTTGGTGCACAGACCCTGTCCCCTTACTCGTACAATATAAAACAGTCCTGTTTCAGAGAAAAGTCAATGTTTACATTTTGCCTAATCCATGTCTTTAATGGTTATCAGACTGTCAGCCACTAGAGGCCTGTTATGCCACCAAGCAGGTATAGTTACATAGTTACATAGCTGTCTAGGCTGAAAAAAGACTAAAGTCCATTAAGTTCAACCTTGGAGCCCATTCTGTTATGAAAAGCAATTGTAGCTATTTTCAATTATGCCACAAAGAAAGAAAACAAATCCGATTTCTCCTTAGATAAACAGCCTATTTACATCTCAGTTATAGCCTTCAACATTCTCTCACAGAACGTGATTGGACTCAGTGATTCTCTATAAGAACCGTTGGATTGGAAGTCAATGTCCCCAATGTTTGTCTATGAGAAGTGGATCGGACAAAAGTCATCAGTACCAATGACTTCTTTGGAGCCGGACTCGCTACAGAAGATACAGTCCCGGCGATGGATTAAATGCGAGTTTTATGGCTTTTCATAACTCTTTTTATAGATATAAATAAGTGGGAGGCCGCAGTAATCTAAACAGAGCACTGGACACGCAAGCATCAACAATAAATGTTTTATTACTTACTGTGTTCACTAAAAAGCATTGTATAAGTGTAACCTTTATTGGCTGACGAAAGCAAGATATTTTGCAAACTTTCAGGACGCTATGGTCCCTCCATCAGGCTTGTTTGTTAAATGAAGCTCAGACATATTTATACATAGTTTACAGGAAAAATAATATAAATACAACAAAACACACAAATAACAGAATTAAACAGTGTGAAACATATACACGGACGCTGTGTACTGCATGAACACGTGACCTGGGAACCATTGGGAGATATGAACACATCAAAGGAAACATTTAACCTCTTCAATGCTTGAAGGTCAGTCTCTGGCAATCTCACAGCAGAAAAATGGTCCAAGATTTAATTAAGCCTGACAAACTGCTGGTATAACCAGAAATACACGGCTGAACAAAGGAGGCAAATATATATTAACCGGTAGCGGTTACCTAATGGGAGACTCCTACAGCATTTAGTTTGCTAAAGTGCTTTATGTGTGAAGAGTGTCCACATTTTTTTTCTTTTTACAAATAGTGCAGATTTCAACAGAAATTAGTACTTTTATAAATTAACCTTATTACATCCCCTGGCTGTCAATCAGATAACAAATCCTGTTACTTCCTGGTTTGTTTAGCTCAGTGGAGCTGAACTCAAGAGGTGGCGATTACCCTGAACACCTGCTTGGCAAAAACTTTTCATTCAGCTGCATTGGGAAGTTTGTGATTGGACAGCCACAGAAAGACTGGGTGGGGTACGAAGGGGAGGGTGTTTAACCCCTTAAGGACACATGACATGTGTGACATGTCATGATTCCCTTTTATTCCAGAAGTGTGGTCCTTAAAGGGTTAAAGCTGCATACAATAGATCTGCAGCTTATGCAAACTGTCTTTATATATACCTCCAATGAAAAAATGCTAAATAAAATGCATACCTGTTTTTATTGGGGATATATCTACTAATCAAAGATTATTTTTTATATGGGAAGTTCAAACTGAACTGAATCCTTCAAACAGAAGTGAATCTCAGGGCTTCCTCTACTGTCTACATATGAAGTTAGGGTGCCCACGTATCCCGTCCTGCATTTTGTGGGTCTGTCCCGGGTCCCGGGCACCTTCATTCCGGGACAATGTAATGTCCCGGAATGAGCTGGGCCCCATATTAGTGAAGAATATGCCAGCGCCGCCGGCCCCCATTTGCTGCCCGCCGGTGGAGATATGCGAGCGGCATCCCTCCCTCTCTCCCCTCCCAGCGCTGCGAGGAAGAGAGGTCACACGCGATGACGTCACTTCTTCCCAGAGCTCTTTGCAGACAGCTGCGCGGGAGGAAAGAGAGAGGAGCTCCTAGGACCAGGTAAGTGCACGAAATGAGGGAGGGATAGTACTAGTACTACTAGTAATTCCATGATAAAGATTTCACCCCCTTCCAGTAGTGGGGGGGTGGACATGAAATGGGGGAATAGACATGAAATATGAGGAAATGGAAATGAAATATGGGGGATATATGAAAAATGGGGAAATGGACATGAAATATGGGGGGGATAAAAAATATTGGGGAATAGACATGAAATGGGGGGGGTGTACATGAAATATGGGGGGAATGGATGCCGAAACACACGCAACGCCGCTGTGTCTGGTGTGAAGAGGGGGTCAGGGAGGGGCAATGAAGTGTCCCTGAATGGCATTTTCAAATGCCGTCATCCTATATGAAGTGTGCACAAGTGCATCACAGAGCTCTACTGCAATAAAACTCAATGTGTATGAGTAACAGAGCTTCACTGCAAAAGTCATCAGTAATGCGCAGTTTTTACAAGTATATCACAGAGCTCCGATAATGTGTAATATTTATGAGAAATTCTCAAGAATAACAGTCCCACAGCTCACAGCATTCACACACTACAAATATTTGTACTGGTCAGAGGACAAAGTATAGCTTCTCCCTCAAATTGATAGAAAAAGGGCGAACACATACCAGCATGAAAAATGAATATATACGTAGAGTTTAAAGTAAAAATATAAAAATTCAGCATGTCTCTTGAGGGCAGTGCTATGAAGTGCCACAACACATGCACTCGAGAGATCGAGTTAAGTGTCAAACCAAATTTAAAACTATTTTACTTTTAACAGAAGGACGGTGCCAGGGAAGATCATAATAACAACTATGGCACACTGTAGTGGTTATGGTGTTCAGACTGCTCCTTTAAATAATAACTATTGAAACTTTTAGTTTGAATAATATCCTTTATTTGGTATATTTGGTGGGAGCTGGGTTAACATGCCATTTAGTTATTCTGAGAGCAATAGCTATGTTCCTGTATTTGCACAGTTGACAAAGCACCTGATAAGGCAAGGCAAATAGTGTGAAAATCCCTTACAAGAAGTTCGGATATCAGTGTGACTGTGTAACAGCCTTGAGAGCTGTGATAAACACACACTCCTCAGTGTGGCCTACCAGGAGTCAACAAGGTGAGAGGTAGTGAGTACTATCAGGGAGGGGGATGGAATGCGCACCAAGCACTTCCAACTCAATTCTTACACGCTGAGCTTTCGCTAAATTCACATTTCAGATTAAAATAGCTAAACTCGAAATATATTTATTTTCAGTTTGGCTATATTGATACGGAATTCCCAACACACCACACTTTATTGAATATTACTGTTATCGTCTGTTACTTGATTTTCACATGTGAAATTCTAAAGCAGGGATGACCAATAGGTAGATCCCCATAAATTGTAGAAAATTTTCCTTTACAATTGGCAATGCATCATGGGGTCACTGTATTTCTGCAACAGCTAGAAAAACTTCATTTTGGCCACCTCTGAGAATTCCTAGTACCATTTGTACTTACCGAAGGGACCATGGTGTGATCCCACACACAGGCCACTCGGGAACTAACTGGGACAGGATCTGAGTTTGTCACAGTCCAGCTGAACTGTTAGAGTTGGGAGGTATTGAATAGGTAACGGCAGCATTAAATGAAAAATTAACTTACTTTTATAAGTCTTCCCTCAAAAATAGTTATTTTGCACAAATTCCCAGTTTGGGATATTTTACTATTAATTTGGGATTTTCATGTAGAATCAATCTCCACTTTTCTCGGCTCAGCAAATAGGAGTTAAAGTGTACAAGTTAAACGGAAATTATAAACATCAAGTTTAATTTTTTATTTCCCGTAATGATAACAATCTATGCGTAGAACGTATATCATGGTGCAAGTTTTCTTTCACAAGCCGTTATAATTACTGTGATTTACAAAAATCACTTTCGCTATAAAGGGGTTATTTTTTCATCTCATGTTAAAGGAGGATGTGTGACTTCTTCATTTCTCATCCTAATCCTTCCGTGTAGTGCAACATGTCTTCATTTTTACTACGTGTTCAGCGCAGGGCTTGATAAACTCCGAGAGACATGAAATCTTCCTCTAATTGTACTGCTGCACTTCAAAATATAAAACACTAATGGATGGAGCCCATCTCTAGTTTATGAAAATGTTAAGTTTGTCTCTAAACATGTCTTAGTGGCTCAAAATCTCTATTGAAGGTAGTCGTTATCTGGGTCATATTAACCCCTTAAGGACCAAACTTCTGGAATAAAAAGGAGTCATGACATGTCACACATGTCATGTGTCCTTAAGGGGTTAAAGGGATACTATAGGCAACCAGCAGGGCCAGATTAAGAGCCCAGTGGGCCTGGTGCTGACAGTTATGATGGGGCCTAATTACAGAATCTTATCGACCAAAAACACGAAAAGAATCATACTTCTCAAGCGTCATGTATCTGATGGAGATGGTGTTGGAGGGAAACTCAAAGGATGCAGCTATAAGAAAACACATACTATATGCTAATCTCTCTCTAATTTATGCTTTCATCTTTCAAGTAAATCCATACCCTCTAACAGTAGTGTCCAGTGAAGCCAGAAGTCAATGGGCAGGGTAAAAGGGTGGACCACTGACGCAAATCACGTGACCAGAACTGCCAAAAGGGGCGAACATGCCCAAAAAGGGGGCATGTCTGTCCAAAGAATTGGAAGGCCAATCTGGCGTCAATGTCCCTTTGTATCTCCCTGTATCTGTGTCCCCATTTCTCCCAGTGTCCCCATGTCTGTGTGTCCCGTGTCACTAGGATACTAGGGGACACTGAGAGACATGGGGACACAGTGAGATATGGGGACACTGAGAGACCGGGGGACACTAAGACACTTGGGGACACTGGGAGACATGGGGGCACTTGTGGATACAGACATGGGGGCACTGGGAGACATGT